GTTGTTGTTGTTGTTGTTGTTGTTGTTGTTGTTGTTGTTGTTGTTGTTGTTGTTGTTGTTGTTGTTGTTGTTGTTGTTGTTGTTGTTGTTGTTGTTGTTGTTGTTGTTGTTGTTGTTGTTGTTGTTGTTGTTGTTGTTGTTGTTGTTGTTGTTGTTGTTGTTGTTGTTGTTGTTGTTGTTGTTGTTGTTGTTGTTGTTGTTGTTGTTGTTGTTGTTGTTGTTGTTGTTGTTGTTGTTGTTGTTGTTGTTGTTGTTGTTGTTGTTGTTGTGATGCATGCATGCGGGCGCCACAACAAAGCTGAGCGGCTACCACAGGCCGTGTGTGTCGACGAGTGCGTGTCTTCACTAACATACGAACCTCTTTGTACACGTGTGTTGATTTACAGAAGAGATCATGTCCAGCAACGACAACGCGGATCGGCGCATGGAAGCCGCCGCACTCCAAATGCTGCAGACGGCTCGTGTTGGCATTGTCTTCACCATTCACAAGGTACACCGTTTTCCGTCATGTAGAGCCGTGTGTCTCTCCGTGTGCGTATGTGCGTCGTGTGTCCAATATCGTTTCGGCCGTTGCTGTTCATTTGGACTAAAGCAAGTCCTCGGTGCTTGAATTTGTGTGCGCAATCGTGGTATACTTTTACTGCTACATGTGCATGAGCACCGCATGTGGCTTGCTCCCGCGGAACAACGCCACATCTCACATGATACGTGGTGGTGATAACTCCAACCAAGGACAAGAAACGCAAGGATGACCTCGTGCAAGGCCGCTACTTTTCATGGTGAGGACAGGACGTACATGCACGGATTGCACAAAGAAGACAAAACCATGTGCACACGCACGCACACACATGCATGCAAACCCACGCACACACATGCATGCACATGCACGAAAACACGCATTGTCATCATTCTCAACTTTTTCTCTCTCTCTTCTTGCAATTTGCTTGCCTATTATGCAACGAAAAGGTTGGCGAGCCAGCCACCATCATTCCACATGTCGCGCCCACTCGCAGATATCATGGCAGACAAGGAGCTGACGGTGCAGGTCGACTTGGAAGGCGTCAAGCTCACCATCCCACGGTGCGTGCATTCGTGGAGATGCCTTTGCTTGTGTGGGCGTGAATGTGAGCGACAGCAAGAGCACTCGTATGTGCGAGTGGGTGTAAGAGAGCTCACATGTGCATGTGTGTGAAAGAGAGCTCACATGTGCGTGTGTTGTGGGTAGGTGAGTGTCCCTGTTCGTCTGTCTTCCGTCTCCTCTGTGTGAGTGTGCTTGAATCAGCTCCAAACACAACTCACATTCTTTTCACCTTCCACCCCTCTCCCCCACCACACACCATGTGCGCCATCGAACGCAACAGCCTTGTGTACGAGATCTGCACGTACTTGCGCCGCTCGCGCCAGCTTGGCACGGAGGGCCTGTTGCGAAAGTCGGGCAATGCATCACGCGTGCGCATGCTGCAACAGCACCTGGACGCGTACGGCAAGCTGCCCATCAAGGAGCTGAAGGAGAACAAGTACACCTGCCACGACCTCATTCAAGTGCTCAAGACCTTTCTCCGCCACCTCCCTGGCGTACGTTCCCTGCGTCCACTCGCACATGCCAAGTGCACAATGCAGGCGTACGCTGTCTTATGTCCTCACGAGTCAACAGCAGAGCGCTGTGATGCTTACACTGTTGCGTGCACACCTGTTTTGCACATGAAACAAGCCTGGTCTAATACAACATGCTTCCCGTGCATGCTTCTCTGCATTTTGGTTTGTGTAGGGCATCATCCACTCCCTGTACAAGTCCTTTGTCATTGCACAGCGTGTCAAGCACGAGGAGGTATGAATGTACATGTACGCGCATGTGTGTGTGTACATGCATATGCGTGCTGGGTGGGTGGTTTCAGCCTATGGATTGAGTACACGCGTTCAGTATTCATGCTGACAAACACACGTATTCAGCGAAAACTTGACACGCACAATTGTCTGTGTGTTAATGTGCTTGTGTGGTGCAATAACATCTGGTTGAGTGTCATCGCTGTACTAACGTGCGCGTGCTTGCATATCGCGTACGTGTGCTGCGTGTAACAGGATCACGTCACACGCCGCTCGGACGAAGAAATTGCGCAGTTTGGCCTGAAGATGACGTTGTGCCTGTGTTACCTCCTCCCAACACCAAACGTAAGCACAGCAACACCCTCAACCTGCTCAGTACACTCGTCGCTTGCAGCCGCGTTCGCATTCACGCACACACTCGCTTCATTCCACGTGCGTTGTCCACAGCAACATCTGCTGCAGTATTTGATGCACTTCTTTGTGGATCAGTTTGGGCCCGCCCAACAGGAGAGGCAGAGTCAAAACACCATGGTGCGTTGTCACTGAGCTGTGCGCGTGCGTGTGTGTGTGTGCGTGTGTGTGTGCGTGTGTGTGTGTGCGTGTGTGTGTGTGCGTGTGTGTGTGTGTGCGTGTGTGCGTGTGCGCGTGCGTGTGTGTGTGCGTGTGTGCGTGCGTGTGTGTGTGTGTGTCAGACATGCATACTTGTGCACAGACGACTGCCAGCAATGTGGTCACCACAACCACCCGTATCATGCGTTCTCGGACACCACTCGCTGGCCTGAACAGCAAATACAACCTCTGGGAACCCTCAAACACACACACACACACAACTCACACGCACGCACACATACGCACATCCCAACCACAACAACGATAGTATTCACTCACGTTTGCTCCCATGTTTGTTTGCACGTGTGCGTGGGCGTCGCACACCAGACCCTGGACAACATTGCCCGAATTCTTGGGCCGACGCTCCTCCCAACCGGGGGCACCACATCCAAGCCAGGCAGCGAGGACGAGGCGGAGTTTGTGATTGACGCCGTGCGAGACATGATGCATGGCTACAAACGCGGGCAGCTGTACACGTCATACCTCAAGGAAGTCTGTGATCGCGCAGCTCTCATCTCCCCACAGGAGGCACAGCGCCTGTACAAGGTAAGGCCTGCCTGCTTTGGACGGTCGTGGAGGAGGAATGATTTGTGGTGCACTGTTACCGAAGTGGGGTGTTTAGGGCGTGGGCATCCTTTCGTGTGTTGTGTATGCGAGAGGTTCGCCCTCCAAACATGCAATAACATGCCCATTCTCTCGCTCCAAAGACACAACACGCACATGTACACGTGAAACGTGCATGAACACACGCGTACATGCACGTACACGCACGCACATACTTCCACGCACATACAATTCCACACACACACTTCCACACACTTACACACTTCCACACACACACACATACACTTACACACACACACATACACACACACCCAAACTTCCACTCTATCACACACTCTCTCAATCTCACACACTCTCACTCGATCACCCATGATCAGTCTGGCTTTGCGGACAAGTACGCAAAGCCAAAGCGGCGATCACGTGCGTCTGGACTGGGCGATGCACTCCGCTCCGCCGGTGAGGAGATGATGAAGACGCTGCAGCGGCGTGGGTCCAGCCGCTCCAACATCGCCGACAAGAGCACGACGGCCTCACGGTCGGCAAGTACGCAGGGGACGCCCAAGATGCGGCGCAAGGGTCGGCGCTCGCTTGGTGATCCAGAGACACTTGCTGCCATGGCAAAGCAGCCTGAACTGAACACAACCAACGGTGGAATGAGTACCACGTCTTCCTTCCCCTCTACCTCCTCCTCCTCCTCCGCCACCATTGCCACTGCCACCGCCGCCGCCACCAGCAGCAGCAGTGGCGTCAGGGTGGCGGCGGTCACCCGCTCTCGTTCGCTCAAGCGCACCAGCGATGCAGCGCACCCAGAGTTGGCGGACGACAACGCGCGCCAGAAATTCAAATTTGGTGACCAACCGCCGGCAAAAGGTGCTTGTGCTTGAATGCGTTTGCGTGCAGTGTTGGGTGTGTACGTCTGGAGTAACGGGGTGGGCGTGAATGCAGTTCAGGGGCGATGCATGCGTGAGGGTGGTTGGGAGGCGGCACATGCGTGGATAGCTGTTGTTGATGTGCCATTCAGCAGCGTGAACGCTGTTATATTATTTGCCATGCAGTAGACTTGAGTGTCACTTTAATTGTTTTGTCCAGCCTTCACAACAACACGGTCGCCATCGCCAGCCTTACTGACAAAACAACATCATCACCACGACCTTACCCATGCCCTCCTCTTCATGTTTCCCCATTCTCTTTGCGCAGCGCCAGCAACCAAGCGCCCAGGGCGTATCATCAGCGCTGCCGAGGCCAAGGTGCGGTGGCGTTGGTGTGTGTGTGTGTGTGTGTGTACTTACATCATATGAGCAACACCCAAACTGCAGCGTTGCACATGCTGGTCAACACCCACACAAGCTGTGCCTGCACCATATATATCATTCACTGTCCTCATATGCGTATGTCTTACACACGCATCATTCTTCCACTTGTGCAGCGAAAGGCCTTTGATATTGCCCCTGTGCACGATCCCCGTCAGCAAGCCAAAGTGTAAGTTGAAGTCAGAACGTATTATCGTTCCTCGCAAACTGCCACACGCGTACTCATTCATTGGGTCCGGTTCTGCAGCATTACTCATCCTCACTCTTATCATGCTTCCATGTGCTGGTATTCGTGTGTCGTGCAGTGCGCCCAAGCGAACGAGCTCTGAGCCCACAGGACTGCACACCACTGCTGCTACCACAACCCGCACCACCCCCATCACCACTGGCAGTGCTGTGGCGGCGTTCAACACGACCAGTGGTACATTGACGGCCACCAATTCCACCGACAGCGACGAGCCGATGAAGCCCAGTGCTGTTACTGTGTCGCGTGTGTCCACAACCGACATTTCCCACGAACAGTCTGCTGTCGTGCGCCGACACACTAAAACCCAGACGCCGCGCTCACGTCGCCGCTCATTTGAGGTGCGAGCTTCAAGGCGTGTGCCTGTATGTGTGTTTGTGTGTGTGTATGTGTGCGTCTATGTGTGCGTGTGTGAGTCTATGTGTGTGTGTCTATGTGTGTGCCTATATGTGTGTGTGTGCGTCTATGTGTGTGTGTGTGAACGGGGTTCGTTATGGGTGTGCATGCCAGCAAAGTGGAGAGAAAAACAAGCGCGTGAGTGACTTGTAAGTTGCTTGTACACTGGACTGCTTGGGTTTGACACATGCCCCAAACTCACGCTCACGCCACCTCGCCCACATGTCCCCTTTCATATCTGGTACCGTTTTGCAGGGCATGCGTCGTCTTGGCGATGGTCTGACGGGCAGCGCAAAGAAAGTGCGCAACTTCATGCAGCGCCGACGCAGCTCGCGTGCCGGCTCGGTAAGTGCGCGCAAGTGACATTACATGCTGCTTGTGACCGTTGTGTGCGTGCGTGCACGAGTGCATGTGTGTGTGTGTGTGTGTGCGTAAGATTAAGACTTTCTCCTCACATCCATCGACTGTATTGCGATTGGCTCACGGATATCACTGTTCAAAATCATGTGACTGTTGACAACGACAGATGAAGAAGAAGAGCAGCTCGACCTCATCGATTGCAGATACGAATAAAGAAAATGACGACGACAACGAAGGGTCCAGAGACCTTTTCCTCAATTTGCTTCCGCAAACATCCCAGTGCGTGCATTTGGCCTTTTTGTGTGTATAATTGCTGTTTGTTGATGTGCGCGTGTGTGTGGTTGATTGTGAGTCTCATGTGCGTTTGATTGATTGTGAGTCTCATGTGCATTTGATTGATTGTGAGTCTGCATACTTTTTGCTTTTCCGTTGTGTGAGTGTTCGCGAATCGTGGCTTGACCTCCATGCATGTCGGTCTGTCTGCTCGGGTGTGCGTGTGTATTAGATTTGCATCCACTTGTCCACACCCCATACGCGTGTGGGTGCACTTCTTGATCTTGCTCAGCGCCTTTCCTAAACCTAATTCCACCCACAACTGTATTCTTACACCCGTGCGCTCCATCTGAGCTCTTCCAGGAACGATTCCGACGTCATTACCCTGGAGGAGCTGAACCGCTTTTCCCAGATGTGCTACGAGGCGCAGGAAAAACTCGACTCGTCCAAGGCCGCGTCTGGTCAGACACCGGCACGTCTTCGTGATGCACATGCCGTCACGCGCGCCAAGCACGCGTCGTCATCATCGTCGTCCTCCTCCACGATTGCAACGTCGGGTGTGTCGATGAACAGCGACAGCACCAGGGATGCCACGAAACACCGAGTTGTCGATGCAAAGGAGCTGCAGCGCCCGCCCCGCAAGACGCGTGTTGGCAAACCACTCGTCATCCGGCACCCGGCAGCCAGCCGCTTTGGCGTGGGCCGCCTCAGTGCTGGTGACGACACGCCGTCGCGTGGGCTATTGGATACGCCCAGCAGCACGTATGTGCGCAAGACGCGTCGCACTCCGATTGGACGGGCCTCGCCGCCACCAACGCTGTCCATCTCCCCAGCGCGCGCCACCGACACGAGCGATGCAAACGCGTGCAAGCGCGGCAAGAGGACGCCCGCACGCTCCAACAACAGCTCCACCAAGAGCCAGCGCACAGGTGTGTCTGTCTGTCTGTCTGTCTGTCTGTCTGTCTGTCTGTCTGTCTGTGTCTGTCTGTCTGTGTCTGTCTGTCTGTCTGCCTGTCTGTCTGTCTGTCTGTCTGTCTGTCTGTCTGTCTGTCTGTCTGTCTGTCTGTCTGTCTGTCTGTCTGTCTGTCTGTCTGTCTGTCTGTCTGTTTGTCTGTCTGTCTGTCTGTCCGTCTGTGTGATTTCCTGGCCGAAACCCTTCACGCATGTGGCGCAAATCCTGTCCGCGTTTGCTGCAATACTCATTGCCAACACTCTTTCCTCTGCTTGATTTTATCAACAGCACTCGGTGACATCAACAACAAGTCGCCCAAGGTCTCAAACCATCGCACCCCACTGGTAAGCGCACGGCGAGGGTGAATGAACACAAATTGCGACATCACTGTTGGGGATGTTCACAGGAATGGGACCAAATGTGTGCTTCTCTTGATCTGACAACTACAGTCATTGCAGTGTCAACAGTGTCAACAACTGTCCACGCACCAATGCACATCTCAACCTCGCTCACCACCGCAATACACACACACCAAAACAGCTGCAGCAGGAGGACCGGTTTACGTTTGTGTGAGCAATGCACGTTGCACGACTTGCTTGCGATGAAATCACATTCACTGCACATTGCGTGTGCCTTGTTTCTTCCCTGCCTGTCCTCTCCTCCTCTTGTTGATTTCTTGTTCCCTCCCCCGACTCCTCGTTTGCAGAAAGAAAGCATCACCCATGCATGCTGAATGCGTTGCCTGTCATCTGTGTGTGCTTGTTCTGCTTTTCTTGTTGTTGTTGGCTTGCTTGAAAGAATGATTACAACGGTCAAACCAACACGAACGGAACAGCGTTGCTGTTGTACTGATGAAGAAGGTACTGTCAAAGGGCACACACACACAACACAACTTCCACAACAACAACGTGAATATAACGTTCATGCCACTCGCGCACATACGCACACACGCAACCAACCACCCACTCGCATTCGCCCGACCGCACACACGCGCACACAACCCAAGCACAGCCATAACACAACCATAACACAGTTCGTCACGTAGCGCCACATGTAATGTAACAAGGGAACAATGCCAGCTGGCACACAGTCACGATTCCTGGTCACCATCACCGTTGCTCTTCGCTTCCTCTCGCTTCCCTCGTCGCTCCTTCTCCTTCCCGTTGGTCCTCTGCGACCGTAACTTTGCAATTCAGCCCACACCTCAGCTTCTCACCATCACCATCACCATCACCATCACCATCACCATCTTCCCTCACGTCCATCGCCTTGCGATCAGCGGTATCACCTGCCTCTGGTGTCCTTTCTTCGGCAAGGGTGCGTGAGACGCTGCTGGTGTTTGCGCCGCTTTCTGTCGGTTGTGTGGTGATAACGGTGGGCGTGTTTTCTGCTGTTGCTGTTGCTGCTGGTTGTGTTTCACGCGTTGCAGCAGGAGAGCAAGGGGTGGCAACACTCTTGCTGTCGTCGTTGTTGTTGTCAGCCTGTGCGTCGATGCTGCGCTTGCTTGTGCTGTCATTGTCGCTGCCCTTGGCCTGTGCAGCATCAACACCATCGCTGTGCATGTCACTGCCAACAGCCTGCTTCTCCTGCTGCTCCGTCTTCCCCTGCGTCGAGTCCTTGTGTGTGGGCTTGTTCGAGTTCGCGCCAGTGCCCGCCGCCATCAGTTGAAAGATTGTTGGAATCGACTTAATGTCACTTCGGCCCTTGACAACCCCTGCAGCAAGTGTGGTCAAGTTGTGAGCAATGGTGAGCACGTTGTCCTCAACATCTGCAAATAAAATGCTGCACATGTGTGGTTGACAAAGCGGCGACTGTTTCACTGCCATCGGCCGCTACAACACATCACACACACAACACATCAAACGCGTCACACACACACACAACGCGTCACACGCGTCACACACACACACACAACACATCAAACGCGTCACACACACACATCACATCACATCACAATCCCACGCGTCACACACATACACGCACGCAAGGCACGCACAACAAACGAACCGTTGGCTTTGGCTTTCTTGGGCGAGTTGTTGCCGTCATCATCAGTGGAGTCAGAGTGTGCGTCAGCTGATGCCGTTGGCTTCTGCCTCAGCTGCTTCTTCTTCTTCTTCTTCGTTGCCTTCTTTGTCTTTGCACCCCCACTGTTGTTCTTGCCATCGTCATCATCATCATCATCATCATCATCCTTTGCAGCTGGAGCCACTGGCTTCTTCTTCCGCTTGCGCTTCACCTTCTGCTGTTCGCCCTTATCGTCGCTCTTCGACTTCTTTGCAGCCTTTTTCTTGCTGCTGTTGCTGTTGTTGTTCTCCCCTTCCGCATCACCGCCATTGGCCAGCTTTGGTGTCACTCGCTTCTTCTTCTTCTTGCTTGCCTTTGTCTTCGCTGCCGCTGCCGTTGCTGCCGCCTTGTTCTTCTTCCCATTACCATCCCCGCCTGTACTCTTGCCGCCGTCTGCCTTACTGCCATCGCCTCCACTCCCGCTATTGCTGGCATCTGCCTTGTCTGTCTTCTCCGCCGGCGGCGGTGGAAGCGGTAAGTCCTCCAGCTTGTGCTGTGCGAGCGCGTCCGGGTGCACAAACCATCGTGGACGCGTGTACGGTGCGCGAATCTCCTTTGTCACAAACGAGCGGTCGTTCAGCTGTCGCAGCACCGCATTCTTCGTCTGCCCGTCAGCCAGGCCCGCAAAGTCTGCAACATCGTATGGGTGTGTATGACAAAGAGAGCGGTACAGAAAAGAGAGTGAGTTTATGTAAGTTGTGTGTGTGTGTGTGTGTGAAAGAAACTCAAAAAAAAATGAACGAAGGGTGTGCCCGACCACACCCAACCACAGAAGCCATCCGTTGCATTCCACTCTGCAACAACTCACGCTCAGCAATAATCTTCTTGCCACGCGTCGTGCCGTGGATGAACTTGATCAAATCTGGAAACAAAGCAACGTGTGAAGAAGCGAGGCAGGCATGGGAATGAGGTCTAGGGACTGTTCACATCACAGCAGTGGCGCTGGGCACCAGTACCACCGACAAATACAACTCAAGCAACCGAGCAACGTGCACAACAACAACAACAGCTGCAGCTGCAAGTGCATGAGCGAGTAGGCACGCCCACCTGGGATGAGGTTGTCCTGCATGGCTGTCTTGCGTGCAACAACCTTTGGTGTCACCTGAACAAGCGAGGGTAGATTGGATAAGCGAAAGGCGTCAGCGACGATGGTGGCAGGGGTGGCAATGGGAGCGAAGGCGCACGAAGCTCGTACAGTACATCGCATAAACACAAATGCACGCACACGTGCACACGCACGAGCACACATGCACACCTGCACCCAAAACACACGCACACGCACACGCACACCTACACGCACCTGGGGCGCCTCAAACGGGTCGATGGGGAGTGGAAGAAGAGGAACAGCGGTGAAATCAGCCAAGACCTCGTGCTGCGCTGCGTCATCGTCCCACAGCAGACCGTAGCAGAACGCCTCCTGGTTCAGGAGATCACTGCATCCACACAGCACGCGGCCGAGGTAATTGACATGAGTTTGGACGTTTCCTGCTCTGTCTCCTGTGCGGGCACAGCAGCAGGCGCCAACCGCCAAAGCAGACAATACTCGCGCCCCAAACTCAATGCGCCACACTGAAAATGTATCTGGAAACCTCCACCACCTCCACCTCCACCTCCACCTCCACCACCGTTGCGACTTACGCGTCCTCCGTGGGTTCGAGGTAGTGGCGAACGGCTTTGCGAAGGCGGCGGCGCTCCCGTTCAGCAAGCTCGGCATCAATTGGATGCTCACCGCCAATGCACACATCACGTTGTCCGCGCGTGTCATAGTCGCCATCAACGTCTTCTTCGTCGTCTTCGTCGCTCGAAGCAGCACCCTCGCCCTCGGAGAGGTAGCCGTGCGGGACGAGCCAGCCATCAGCGTCACCATCCTCGTCGCTGCAATGAATGAGACACGTCACGTACAGGTGGAAGAAGGGAGCGTGCGTCAATGCACGCGCGAACACGACAACCAAACATCGCCACGCTCACGTGGACAAAGACACGGTGACAAGCCATCACACCACCGTCACGCCATCATCGCAGCATACGTAGTCACACCATCATCAATCAGTGTCATTACGCACGAAACCATCATCGCACCATCACAATGAAAATCACTGCTTCTGTTCCCTTCAAAACAAAGCCCTCCTCCCCCTCCCCCTTCCCTTCTGGCATGTCAGCTCACTCTGCATCCTCGTCGTTGTCGTCGGCCTGGTCGTCGTCGCTATTGCACTCATCAGCGTCCTCAGGTTCCGGCTCCCACTCTGCCTCGCTGTCGTGGTCATAGTCGAGCACGCGCGTGTCCTTGCCAACTGCAAGGGGAGGGGGAAAGGGATTGTGATGCGATTGTGATGTGATGTGGGGTTGCATTGACGGTGGGCTTGTTGTGTGAGCACAGAACAGAACCAAGGTGGAATACACGCTGGCAGTGACAGCGAATAGGTGCGTGATCGGCAGTGGTTGGCACGTGGAGAAAAACAAGGATGCGAACACGCGCGCACACACACACGCACTCACTCACATCAGCAAAACACGCACGCACTCACTCACTCATACTCAAACGCAAGCACCAACACAGGCCCACGTCCAGGGCAATGCACCAACACAGGCCCACGTCCAGCGCAATGCACGACTGACATGGGCATCGGGGTGTGACGGCAGCAGAGGATCGGGTCCATGTGCCCCACAGCGGCGGGCGGACATCTTCCCAGAACTAAACGCGCGATTACCAACATACATGAGTGCATGTGTGAATTTGTTCATTGCGGAGGATTACGTAAAGTGACACTGCACTCAGAACAACAGCACAGACGTCATGCGGATACCCAACCACCTCACGTATGCACACACACGCAAACGCACAAGCAAACGCAAAAGGCGTTGCACCAAAGATGCAGGTTACATCTCCTCCCCTCCCCCCTAACACGTCCCGTGTGTGTGTCACGCTTCCCCACAACGCACCTGAAGAAGTTTCACGCGCTCAAACTGCTGTGTGCCTGCATGCATAATGTACGCGTGCTTCTTCGTGTCCACGTCGCGGTAGCGTTTCGGCGCAGTCTTCCACCGCAACGTCAGCTCCTCCCGCAGGTCCGACGCGTGCTCGCACATGGCCTGGTCGCCAGAGAGCGGGCCCTGGAGCCGGGCGTCCACAACATCGCGTGATGGCTGCTGCGCTTCGGGCAGGCGGTGCGTTGGTGCCAGCGTCATGTCCTGCTCGAAAACATGTGTGCACAAGGGCGTTGGATGTGAGACGGGGAAACACCGACAACAGTAGATAAAAGAAGGCACATTGCACACAAAAACACACACACACACAAAACAAAACACAAACACAAACACACACACACACACACAAACACACACAAAACAAAACACAAACACACACATACACACAGAGCACAATAAACCGCGCGTGTGGTCGGACCTGCAGCACAACAAACGGGTCAAATCTGTTGACGGAGGTGTTGAGGGCAACGGGCTCTGCCTTTTCCGGCGTTTCGGGCTTGTTGTTCTCAAGAAACGACGCCATAAAAGACTGCATCATCTTCACGGGGCGCTGGTGATCATGACAGCGGTGGTGGTGGTAAAGGTGATGGTGATGAGGGTGAGGGTGACGACGTCGTGAGGGTGAATGGATGATTCATCGCACAACCGAAAGCAACACTCAAGGACAGATATCCCTCTTATCCCTCTTTGTCTCTCTGTCTTGGTGGTTGTGGGCATACGGGCCAACCTTTTTCTTTTCCTCCAGCGCCTGTCGCTCTTCCTCCTGTCAAAACACACGTGCAAGCGTGCATTGGTTTGTTTGTGCGAGAGCACGTGTGAGATGCGCTTGGGGGTGAATAATCGACAGGGTCAGCAGGCAGCCGCAAGCAAGCGGGCACGCGCACCACGCGTCAGTGTGCACGGTGTGTAAATGTACGCCCCACCTTGCGTTTGCGCTCCTGTTCTGCCTCCTCCTTCTTGCGCCGCTTCTCTTCCTCGCGCTTGCGTTTCTCTTCTTCGCGCTGCAGACGCTGTTCCTCCTTCAGCCGCTCTGCCTCTTCCTTCTTCCGCTTCCTCTCTTCTTCCTTCTTCTTCTTCTCCTCCTCCCGCTGCAGACGCTGTTCCTCCTTCAAGCGCTCTGCCTCTTCCTTCTTCCGCTTCCGCTCTTCTTCCTTCTTCCTCTTCTCTTCTTCCTTTTTCCTCTTCTCTTCCTCCTTTTCCTTCTGCTTCTTCAGCCGCAGCGCCTCCTACACGCGCACGCGCGCGCACACACCACCACGCATAACGATGTGAGTCTGTGACGCTGGTGTGCGATGGCATGCTTCAGAGAGAGGAGTCCAACATCACACACGCATGCACACACGCCACACGCCACACGCCACACGCCACACACCACACGCACACATGCAAGCAACACACATGGGCCGATGCACTCCCCTTCCCCTTCCTGGCACACACACACACACAGGATACGCACCCTCTCTTCGCGGGCACGACGCTTTGCTTCCTCCTTTTCCCGCTTCTTTCGCTCGCGGTCCTCCTGCTTTGCTTTTGCTCGCCGCTCCTTCTCCTCCGCACTCAGCTTCGCGCGCTGTTTGTGCGTGTATGTGTGTGTGTGTGTGTGTGTATGTGCGTGTATGTGTGTGTGTGTGTAAGAGTGTGTGTGTGTTGATGGTGTGGGAAAGATATGAGCAACACAATGCAGCACAATGCAGCATCAACAGTGCAGACACACCCAATGAGCTTTCACAAACACACACACACACACCTTCGACTTGCTGCTGGTGGAGGATCGTGTTGGCGTGACAGACGCCTTTGTTGAGCTGGCTGCTGATGCCTGTTCGTCGGCCTTGGCGTTCGTCTTTGTCCTGTTGCGCTGTGCCGTCCGTCGCGGCTGCTTTCGTGTTGCGCCAGACACTGCACTGTCGTCGCCCGTCTTCTTCGCCTTCTTGGGGGAATTCTTAGCCCCAGTGGTCGTGTCGACCTCCACAACATCTTGGCCATCATCCTCATTGTCGCTGGCGTTGTCATCGCTGTCGTCACCCTCCTCATCACTTTCATCCTCATCGCTTTCATCATTGCCATCACCATCATCCTCATCATCCTCGTCATTTTCGTCGTCGTCATCATCATCGTCGTCGCTGCTTGGCCCGCCCAGTTCCTCGGGCCGCGTCCACACCGACTGCTTCGTGATGTGGTTGTAGTAGTAGTCCAGGCCATCGGGGCTCAGGTGGTGCGTCCACGCACACCCATCGCTTGTCGCGGGTGCCTTGCCCGCTGTTGCGCCGCTGGCCACTTCTGTTGCTGCGGCCTGCTTGTCGTCGCCGGGCCCCATGGCCTTGTTCTTGGTCTCGGTCTCGGTGTCGTTGGCGCTCGTGTCATGCTGTGTTGTTGTGACGTTGGCATGTGTCGCTGCATCATTCTCTTTCTCGTCGTTGTCGTCGTCATTCTCTTCATCGTCATCTTTATCGTCGTCGTCGTCGTCGCCTTGATCGATACTTGTGTTCCTGCTGCTGTCACTCTCGCCAGCATCGCCGTTACCACCAGCACCGCCTTTGCCTTGATCATCACGGCCACTGCTGTTGTCGCCGTCATCGTCGCCATCGCCACCGGCATCACCGCACTCACCGCTGTTGTGGTCCTTGTCGACAACGCTCTTGCCCTGCTGGTTGTTGCTGCTTCCATCGCCAGCAGAGGTGGTCTCGGCCCCGCCCTGTTTGTCCTGCGGCTGGTTCTGCTCCGTCGATGCGTCGTCATCAACGTTGGCCTCGTGCTGCGAGGAAGATGCCGATGTCGACGAGGAGGAGGAGGAGGATGAGGACGATCGAATCACAACAATCTCCGCATTGTCCGTGACGGCCGTGGGTGGGGCATCGGCGGCGAACCGCAGCGTGCGGGATGCATCGGGCTTGGTGCTCGCCGCTTGCTCGTCATCAAGGTCGGGCCGTTTCGTTGCTGGGACACTGGCGGCGTCCGAGGCCCCTGGCGTGGCTGACGACAGCTTGCTGGGAGAGGACGCAGCGGACGAAGAGGCTGGTGTTGTGAACTGCGGGCTGGCGCGGTCGGATGAGCTTTGCGCATCCGTGCCGCGGTGCCGCGACTTGCGTTTGGACTTCACCTCCCGACACAGGAACGAGTCGAGGGTCGCTGCGTGTCCGGTGGGCGCGTTGCGTGTCGAGCACACAGCGAGGATTGATGCAGGCGCGCGTGTGTGTGTGTGTGTGTGTGTGTGTGTGTGTGTGTGTGTGTGTGTGTGTGTGTGTGTGTGTGTGTGTGTGTGTGTGTGTGCGTGTGTGTGTGTGCGTGTGCGTGTGCGTGTGCAGATGCAGATGTGTGTGAGCAGGTGCGAGCTTGATGTTTGAGACGAGCGGACAAAGCAACAGACGAACAAAGCAACAGAGGCTGCCGCTGGAAGCTGTGCGATCAACAACAATCGTCACGGTGCACACCCCACCTACCTATGCTCTTGTTGACCGACATGACGGCAGACTGGTGGAAGGCGCTCCCTCCTGTCGACAGATGATTGGTGTGTGTGTGTGTGTGTGTGTGTGTGTGTGTGTGTGTGTGTGTGTGTGTGTCTGCGTGTGTGTGTATGGGATGTGAATGAATTGGCGCGTGAATGGAGGTGGTCGTGCACACACACATGCATGTTGTTTGTCGACAGAGTAGCGTGTATGGCATGAGGCACACAGCATGCAAACACGCACACAGGATAGCTTGGCTTGGCTTGGCTTGGCTTACGTGTCGACAAGGGGAGGGACGATGGTCAGTGCTTGTGTGTCGCTTCTTGGTGGGTGTCTGTTCACACCTTCACAGACAGCGCGGAGTGTGTGTGTGTGTGTGTGTGTGTGTTGTGCAGTGTGGGCGAGCGAGTTTGCGAGCGGCGCGGGTTCAAGTTTGCGCGCCAAAACTTGTTCGTTGTAGAGAATTGGTGAATATCTTCATACACTGTGGGTGGTTGTGACCGACACCACAAGCGATAGTCGCGGGGCAAGACCAAGAACGACTGCTGCACACCACCACCATGCCGCTGCCATCATCATCGTGCAGGGTTGCCGTCCTGGTTGGTCCCGAGCGGGGATTTGATGTGGACTCCATCGACCCTACGATTCGCCAACAGCTGGAACAGCACGTTCAGGTTCCAACTGCAGACTCATGTGCTGTGTTCTGTGTTCTGTGTTTGTGTGTATCGTGAGTGTGAGTGTGTGTGTGTGTTGTGAGTTGATGAGATGTGCAGTTCTAGTGTGAGTGTGTGTTGTTTGTGTAAGTGTGTGTGTATCGTGAGTGTGTGTGTGTATCGTGAGTGTGAGTGTGTGCTTCGCTGTGGGCGTGTTGGCACATTGATTGTCAAAACACACGCAACGCCTTTGCTGCGCAGTTGCACTCATACGCACACTTGACAACCCGCTCGTGACTGCAGCTGGTCGACTATGAGACAGCAAAAGCCAGTGCGGAGACAGAGCCCGTGGATGTCATTGCCACGTTTGCTCACGTGCTGGTTGGAAAAGAGCTAGTCACAGCCCTCAGCCCTTCCCGCGCCCTCAAGGTAACCCCAAACATGCGTGTGAATTGAAAGGCCAGCCAGTACTTTGTGTGTGTGTGTGCGTGTGCGTGTGTGGGTGTGGGTGTGGGTGTGGGTGTGGGTGTGGGTGTGGGTGTGGGTGTGGATGTGGATGTGGGTGTGGGTGTGTGTGGGGGGGGATGAAACACGTGGTTGACTTTGACCCCCTCGCTTTTGACAGGCTGTTGTCAATTACGGCGTTGGCGTCGACCACATCAACCTTGATGGTGAGCTGCACTGATTACGAAAAGCGAATACCGCTGTGGTGGTGGCGTACAACACACATCCCCTTCGCGACACACACACACACACACTGGGAGCTCACGCACGCGTGCAATGTTTGCTTTGCCTGCCACCCCGTGCCAGAGATGCGTGAGCTGGGCATCCCCGTGTGCAACACCCCTGGCGTGTTGTCAGGGGCGACTGCAGACATGGCGTGGGCGCTGCTGATGGCGTGCGCCCGCAACATTGTGCAGTGCGATGCGTACTGCCGGTCCGACGCCTACACCGTCTACAGAAACATGATCTTCCTTGGCCGCGACGTGCACCACAAAACCATCGGCATCGTCGGCCTCGGGTCTGTCCACATACCAAGTCACATGCTGCGTCTGTGTGTGTATGTGTGTGTGTGTATTTGCGCGCTCTCAGGTGTCCGTCTCTCCGTGTGTGCGTGTGCGTGTGTGTGTGTGTGTGTGTGTGTGTGTGTGTGTGTGTGTGTGTGTGTGCATGACTGTGCGTCCGTGCGCATGCATCTGTGTATGTGTCTCTCTCCGTCTCTCTGTCTGTCTATGCGCACATGTATGCGTGACTGTGTGCCAATGTGAGTCGTTTGCTTGCTGTGTTGTCCGTGTGCCCTGTCGCACCGATCAGCCACCATGCTTGAGCATTGCTGGTCTGTTCTGCATGGTCTGTCCTGCATGGTCTCTGACATGTCGTGTGCGCTGCTCGCTCCATGACCGCATCTTGCTCCAGCCGCATTGGCACCGAAATTGCGCGTCGGGCCAAGGGATTTCACATGCGCATCCTCTATCACAACCGCAGCCCAAACAAGGTACTGTGTGTGTGGGTGTGGGTGTCTGTCCGTTAGTCTCTCTGTGTGTGTGCGCTCGTTTGTGTGTGTGTGTGTGTGTGTCGACCATACACAAACTTCATTCACAAACTTCATATGGGAGTTGACGTGTGCTGTGTGTTTGGTTGTGGCTGTGATTGCGCCTCACCTCGCTGTTTTCTGTGTTCGACCGTGGCAGGATGCTGAGGATAAACTTGGAGCAACGCTCGTATCCTTGGATGACTTGCTGAAGGAGGTGTGTCAGCAGGCACAGACGCCCGTGTGTACTTTGTCTTGCTTGCATGGCTGGGATACTTCTCCTTCCCCTCTTTTTCGCTTTGTTTTTCCCCTCTTCTTCCTGCCCCGTGTTCCTTCCTCTCCTCCCGTCTCGGCTGTTGCTGCCGTTTTCACCGCTACCACCTTTGACATCTTTGTTGTTGAGCAGAGTGACTATGTTGTGCTGGTGTGTCCGTGCACCCCAGAGACAACGGGCCTCATCTCCACGCCTCAACTGAAGCTCATGAAGGTGTGGGCTGCATTCACGCGCGTGATGCCAGTGCGCCTTTCACGTTCTTGCGTCCATGTGATGTACTTCCCTGCCCTCTCCTGCCACACTCGCACTCTCACACACACTCGCATGCACTCACACACACTCACACACACTCACCATGTACATGTTCGCACAGCCACTCACAGGTTCGCACGCACACACACACACATACACATGCACATACTCACGATGACACGCATGTCTGTGTTGCAGAGCACCGCGTTCCTGGTCAACATTGCCCGCGGCCCTGTAGTGGATACAGATGCGCTTGTGGCGGCACTGCAGTCGAAGGAGATTGCTGGCGCCGGTCTGGACGTGACAGATCCAGAGCCCCTCCCGCTTGGCCATCCTCTCCGTACCCTCGACAACGTTGTGCTCGCACCACACCGCGGCAGTGCTACAGCAGAGGTAATGTGTATGTGTGTGTGTGTGCGCGCGCGCGTGTGTGTGTATGTGTGTATGTGTGTGTGTGCCTGTCTGTTCGTCCAGCTGTCTGTCCGTCCAGCTGTCTGTCCGTCCAGCTGTCTGTTCGTCCAGCTGTCTGTTTGTCTGTCTGTGGCAGCAGCACATAATGGACTGCGAACCAAAACATGCTGGCTCTGCTGTTACGTGTCCCGCTTTGCTTCTGTAACCTGCAGCTCTGCACGTGTTTGTCGTGTGCGTGTGCATGTCCGTTTGCAGGCGCGTGCGGCTATGGCGCAGCTCGTGATTGATAACGTGCTGGCTGCAGCACGAGGAACGCCGCTTCTCACTCGCTGCGCGTGATGTGTTTGGTGTGCCTTTGTGTGCTTTGTGTGCTTGTGTTTCTGCCACCCCTTCCCGTGCTTCGTTACCCGCTTGTTGTTCCAATTAAACGAACCCCCTTCCCGCTCAACGCGCTATGCCACATCTCTCATGTGCATGTATTGCACGCACGACACAATCACATGCAATCCTCGCAATCACGAGGCTGTAGGCTCTTCCCAATCACAAACACACCGCGCTGCTGTGCACCGGTTGTGCGTTTTGTTGTTGGTGCAACAGCAGATTTTCTCCCTGTTTGACAGGCCAGCGCTGTTGTTGCTGCTGCTACGACTGCTGCTGTGGCGAGGAGGGAAGGAGGACGGGGGAGGACGAGCACGCCTACACGCCCTTGCACGAGGGCCTAGCACACGCTGATACGTGAGCACCGCGACTTCACACCAGCCACAGTTGCTCTGCAACAGGCTCGGAGACTTACTGCAACAAGCAACGGGAGCAACGGCCTTCTATCTTTGTACTCGCAACAGCTACAGCAACCCCCTGAATAGAAGCGCTTACACACGCAAGCAAGATATCCGAGTGCCAGTGCTGTTCGACGACTGCGAGCCAAACGCATCCCAGCATTCCCGTACAGCACTGCACGAAGCGACCCGATGTTTGCTCGGTTGCTGCGACGCAAGCAGCGCTCGACCGAGGAGTCTGATGACGCCGCATCCAATAGCGACAGGGGTGGGCGGACGACGCGGCGCAGCCTCGCAACACGGAGGCAGGACCAAGATGCCGGATTGAGCTCCGAACGGGAGCAGCAAGAAGCTCAACAGCAACGCCAGCAGCAGGGGCACCCCGACCACACACAGCAAATCACGACAACTACACCACGGAAGCAGTCTGCGAGGAAGAAGAGGAAAAACAGGCGGCGGTCTTCAGCTCGCGGCCCGCGCAGTCGTCGCAGTACGGCAACGCTCTCGCCCGACACGCGGAGCAGCAACGGCAGCAACAGCCGACCTGGCAGCCGACCCTCCTCCCGTCAGACGGGGCGCAGGCAGAGTCGTCGAAGGCGCAGCACCCGAGGCAGCACACGCAACTCCCTTGATGAGAACTGTTTGTATCTCGGCGAAGAGTTCAACCTGCCGGGTGAGTCGAGTCTGTCTGCGTGCGGGTGTGTGTGTGTGGGGGGGGGGGACGTGCGTGTGTTTGTGTGCGCATGTTTGTGTGCATGTTTGTGCCTTTGAACATTCATGCACGTGTGCCTTTGAGCTTACATGTGCATGTGCATGTGTCTGCCTGTCACCATCGCTTGGCGCTCACAAGCACCCGATTGTATACCTCCAACCATCGCCAATCACTTAACCCCCCCCCCCCTCCTTTGCCATGAGTGCAGATGCCATTCCCGAGGGACAGCAGGCCATGGATGCAGAGGATCTCCTGGCGTTGTTGTTTGCACAGAACAAGGAGGACATTGCACCTCCTCGCGCCAGCACGTCGATGGTGCCTGTGTATGAGCGCAAGCACTCGACAGATGCAGTCATCCCCTACTTGCGGAAGAAGAAAATGGAGCTGCCACCTCGCCCAGCAAAGTGGCGGGAAACCGTCTGGGACCGACCAAGCTACGCTCAGGTGAGCCATGGTCTTCCCTCGCCTTGCTCTGCTGAGCCGTACACGGCCGCCCTGCCAAGCTGGCAAGCTCCTGGCTCTATGTATTCAAACTCATACACTCCACATCTGTAACTTGCATCCCCACCACTGTACCGCCGCATACCGTACACCTTCCCTTTTCGTGTAGCCACGCCGTCGCGCATCCTCGATGGACAACTTTGGACTCGGCTATTATGGGTCGGGCGATGGCGACGAGACGGACGATGAGTACGATGAGGAAGATGACGAGTACGGGTACGACGACGACGACGGTGATGACGACGGTGATGACGAGAGTGATGGTGCTGACGCTGATGATGATACAAGGGCTGCGGGCGGGGACGACAGCGCCAATGATGGCGAGTACCTGGATATACCAAGTGGTTCGCCCAAATATCACAACCCCTTTGGACACGCATTGAAGCCAACCACCCTTTACCAACCCAACAGCAAGTCTTCCACCCTGCCAGCGCAGACCCACGGTGTGTGTGTGTGTGTGTGTGTGTGTGTGTGTGTGTGTGTGTGTGTGTGTGTGTGCCAATGTGTGTGTTTTGCAGTGGCTGTCGATAACCCACGATGTCACAAAGGTACACTGTATCTGTTGCATCCCTTGTCCATGCTCCAAAGACCTAACTACTGCTTTCCGTGACTTCCGCCCTTCTTGAACTGCTCATTAGGTGTCCACAGGGAAACGCCACTGGTGGGCCGACACGTGTTGTTCGTGGATTATGTCGTGTTGCGGTGTTGTGTGGATCAGTGGACACTGGACACAAAGCATGACACCCACCAAAACACACACACACTCTCATACACACACACACTCACACACACTCACACACACTCTCTCACACACACACACACACACATGCACTTGTTCGTCCGCACGCCACGTGCCATGATAGGGCCGCGAAACGGCGATGATGATGGAGAACAGATGGCTGGCCATGACAATCAAGAAAACAAAGGAAGACTTCACAAGGGTCCCAGAGCCACCCAACATGTCCAAACTCGACCTAAACTGCTGAAGCTCCCCGCATGCACCCGGCTGTTCATGCCACACAGCCACACACACACACACACACACACACACACACACACACACACACACACACACACACACACACACACACACACACACACACACACACAGTACCTGTCACAGCCCACCAAGGTTACGTACACGTACATAATAACGGCTTTATTGTATCACGACGACCAGCGTGGGCCGTCGTGGTCATCACAAACAACGCAATACAAACGGCATGCGAAAGCAATTGCGCTCCCAACATCGCTACTACTCGCAAGCAGCCGCAGCACATACACAACGTACGCAACACAGAATCCATGCATATCCATGTAACAATACAGCACACCCGCTCATACGTTTAAGGGAGGGGACAGAAGCAAACACTTGAAACGGACGGTAACACGCAGTAGGGTCTTGCTTTCGGTTCACGCACGGCGTCGCACGGTCAAATGCCAGGAACACGCGGTGAGACACAGGTGGCCAGCGAATTCTTGAGTTGCTCCTTGGCTGTAATGGCCACAACGCAGGTAAAGGGCGCACGTGAGCACGCGGGTTCTCAAGGCAAACACGACAGCACAAGCCAAGGTATGCGCGCGCGCACAGACATACACACGCAAACATCCACACACGCACATACACACGCAAACATCCACACATACAGGCATACAGACACAGACACACACGCCAACACACCTTGTTTTTGGTAGTCGAAGGAACAGTCGTGCTTATCACTGTATCTGCACTTTGCACAAAACTGGCCCTCACACCGACAGGTGTAGGGAAACTTGAGCTTGGCATTGCACCACTCACACCGCAGGCCCGCCTTGCGCTTTTTGCCTTTCTTCCCTTCTGTCGCAGCCGACGCCTTGCTGGCAACATGATGATGCTCTTGCTGGCGGAACCCGTGTTGCTGCCGCTGCTGCTGCTGTGCACGCGAAGATGACGATGACGATGGCATTGCGGCGGCAACAGCGGCCCCCTCAGACTTGGCAGAGAGCGGGTGTTGGTGATGCATGCTGGCAGGCATCCCAGGTGCAAGGGATGCACGCGTGTGAGGCGCCTCACCGCTGTCACGGCCGTTCACGCCATGCTGCGTTGCCTGCGCCACACACCACGACGACAGAGACCGCTTTCGACGCGCTGGATGCTGGAAGTGCTGTTGGTGCTGCTGGCGCGATGGCGGGTGTTGGAGGGACGGCAGAGGCGGCAGGCCCCGCTCACATGTTCCTGGCTGCGGCGGCGCGCGCAGCATGTCTGGCAAAGCGGGGTCACCATATTGTTGTTGTCGCTGCTGCTGCTGCTGTTGACGGTAAGGCTGGTGCTGTTGGGGGTGCGGCTCCGTGTGTGACGATTGCAGATTGAAGCGTCTGTGCCAGTGCCCACCACGCATACCCACACCATCGTCACCACCACCACCACCACCACCATTACCACCTTGATGGTGCGGTCTGGATGGCAGGAGGGCAGGCAGTTTTGGCGATGGCGCCGCAGTTCCGGCTGTCGATGACGACTGCGATGAGGATGCTGGGCCAGGCTGTGGTGGACGCGGCAGGTGTCGCACACGCCGCCGCCCGCTCTTGCTCGCACTCGATCTTCGCGTGCCCGGCGCAGGCGATGGCGCTGTGGTGGTTGCAGGGGTGTGCACGCCCTTCACAGGGGAGAGGAGGCGCGGTGGAGGGAACACGCGCCCGTTGCCCGCAGTATTGCTGGCGTGCTGGGGTGGCAGCTTGTGCGACTGTGACGGGTGATGGTGCGGTCGACGGTGATAAGATGCAGCCGCTTCCTGTTGCTGCTGCTGCCTTTGGTGTTGCTGGTGTCGCGCGACGAGATCCGACATGGAAGGGGGCACGGGCTTGCGCTTGGGAGGGTGGACCAGAATTCCAGCGGACACGTGCGCACGCGCCTGCATGGCCGGCAGCGCGGCGCCGTTCGCATCGACGTCCTCCTGCGCGTTTGAGGAGGAGTGGCGACGGCGGTGGCTGCCCGGGCGCTGCGTGATGGACAGGCGCTTGGAGGATGAGGATGGGGAGAAGAAGGAGGAGGAGGAGGAGGAGGAGGAGGAGGACGCGGAATGCAGGCGTGATTGCGATGCCGGGGGCGAGGGTAACGTGTGTGATTCTGGCGGTAGCTGCTGTTGCTGTTGCTGTTGCTGTTGCTGTTGCTGCTGCTGCTGCTGCTGCTGCTGTTGCTGCGTTATGGCTGGTGGTGCATCGTGATCCGTGTCCATCCGTGCAGTCACGTGGGGTGCAGGTGTTGCCGTGTGCACGTGCTGCTCAGACTGGACGTGGTGGTGACTGTGGTGACTGTGGTAGTGGCGGTGGTCGGCACTGGTGAGGGCAGCGCGACCGCCTCTGCTGAGCGGCGAGAAATGCGACTGCAGGATGGCGCGATCCCACGGCCGAGGACCAGCACAGTACATGTGCATCTCATCCTCTCCACCATCATCGCCGCGGCGGGCCCCTGCACAACACAGTGCGCCGTCACTCATTGCAGTGTCGTCCTCGTCTTGATACTCAGCGTCGACTCTCTCATCATCATCATCATCATCATCATCATCATCATCATCATCATCATCATCATCATCATCATCATCATCATCATCATCATCATCGTCGTCGTCGTCGTCGTCATCATCATCATCGCATTCATCAACATAATCGTATGGGTATTGCACGCCTGCATGCCTGCCATCAACACCACCGTAATCACCATAATCATCGCAATCATCAGCATCGTCGTCATCATAATCGTGGCGATTGCAGTTGCCGTCATTGTGTGCGTCATCGGCAAGCTCAACCTCCTCAACAAAGCCGTGCAGCGTGGTGCCATATTGATGGCGCGCATCGGACAGACCGCTGCGTCGAGCGCCACCCGCACGCGAGCACGCCGCACTTGATGCGATGGAAGGGTGACGGGCACACTCACAGTGGCAGCAATGCGTGGGATGGTGTTCACACGCGTGTTGGCCGCAAGGTGTCCGCACGCCATCTACTCCAGCAGAGGTGTAGTGCGTCGCCGCTGCCGCTGCTGCACGTGTCGATGAGGAGGAGGGTGGTAGTGGTGGTTGAGGCTCGTGCTTGCACGGCAGAGGGCGAACAAGGTTGCTGTTGCCTTCGCGCGTGTGTGCACGCGAGCACGCCACCGATGGCGCTGCTGATGAATACATGTGCAGATACTGCATGGAGATGGGGCTCGGTGTCATGGACGCCTGGGGCACGTGCAAGCTGTCAATCCACGAGCGGGACACGACGCGCTGGTGGGGTGGGACGTCTGGGGACCGCGGGCGCTGTTGCGTCGACGGCGGTGAGCGATGGCGATAGCCAGAGAGGCCCAGCTCGCCGTGTGCAGGTGCTGCTGCAGTTGATGTGCGGGACACCTGCTGGCTGATGGACGCGTGTGGTTTGCGTCCTGTTCGCCCCGGTATCATTGGCGATGGTTTGTGGTTGGTCGCCGCCGTTGTAGGCGCTGTTGCCGAAGACCCCGGTGTTGGGTATGGCAGTGAACATGTCATGGACATGGCGCGCCTGTGTTGGTGTTGGTGCTGCTGGACCGGCGCGTGTTCTTGCTGGTGGTTATCGTGCCGTTGTTGATGTTGTTGTTGTTGCTGTTGTTGTTGGTGGTGGTGATAGTACAGGCAGGCGTGTGGTAGGGCTGAGGATCGGTTGCTCTGTGCAGATTCGGGACCAGCGTAAGCGCTTTCTGGATCCTGCGTCGGTGGTAGTGCTGACATATCTGCGCTGCCAACGTTTGCACACGCCGCAGTTGCCTCTGGTGAGGCCGAGTGGCGATGAAGGTGGTGATGATGGTGGTGATGTTGACTGTCACTGGCACAGCCCGCCGTCGTGACGCCATCACCGGCACCTTCACCCTCACCATCAGCAGCCGCTGTCATCGTTGTGCGGTGCTTCTTGTGCTTGCGCCTCTGCTTTTTCTCGTTCATGCGCATGCGAAGCTCAGCCATGCGCAGGCGATGGCGCGTGTTCTCCTGCAGGCGATCAAGCCGTCGTGCCAGCTGCTTCGATGCGCGCCGCCACCCGTGCGGGTCGAGCGGGTCTGCTGGGGGCGTGTCGCGGCTGTGCAGGTGCTGGTTGCGACTCGTGCTCCGAGATGGCAGCTGTCACGTGGTGTGTGTGTGTGTGTTTGTTTGTATGTGTGTGTGAGAGAGAGAGAGAATGTGTGTGTTCGTGTGCGTGTGTTTGTTTGTTTGTTTGATTGTTTGTATGTGTGTGTGTTTGTTTGGTTGTGGTGTCGTTGTGTGTGTGTGTGTGTGTGTGTGTGTGTGTGTGTGTGTGTGTGTGTGTACAATGTTGAGCGGTGCCTTCTTGTGAGATTTGTTGCAAGGGTCTCACAACGCATGATGTGGGTATTCACAACAAACGTCGCTCTTCCGGACACCTTTCACAACGTCCTATTCCCTGTCCACCCGCACAAATACGTACACACGCGCTTGTTACCTGGTAGACAGAGAGGCCGTCTGTGTCGTGGTAGAAAAGGAGTTGGGCGTTGTCGTCTGCAAGTGATGCCAGCAGGTGCAGGTACGCTTCCTCATCAAGGTCGAGCAAGCGCAGCATGTCAGACTCTGCCTGCGAGTCGTAATCTGCACGCCAAAGTTCGCATTGGATGGAGTGTGTGTGTGTGTGAGAGAGAGAGTGTGTGTGTGTGAGTGTGTGTGTGTGAGTGTGTGTGTGAGAGAGACAGAGAGAGAGTGTGTGTGTGTGAGTGTGTTCGGGTAAGAATGTACAGGATGGAGGCAACGTGGACGCATTCTCGGGTTAAGCTGTGCACACGCGTCGACCCGGACACAGTGACAGACAGACAGACAGACAGACAGCCAGGCAGGCAGATAGACAGACAGACAGACACACACAGACGTCGATTTGCGTTCACAATTATTGTTTTTTGAACTGACAGGATGTCGTAATATCTGGCGGGAGGTGTGCGTTTGTGACGGCAGTGTTGACGGAGAGGACGAGGGTGAGTGCATCGCCATCATTGACGCCTGCACTGCGAAGGGTCTGTGTATCCGAGAGCGCGGCATCGCGGAAGATGAGCGATTGTTGCGGCACGGGTATCTCCTGGATCACCGCAATCAACTCCTTCACTTGTGACACCTGCGTGTATGTGTGTGTGTGTGTGCGTGCGTGTTGCAGATGTTAGTGACGTACTACTGTGTTGTTGTCCTCACATCTGACACCGTCCTGTTCACTTGCCAGCGCACTCACCAAATCAATTCCTGGCACTCCACGCCTTCACCTGACACCACCACCACCCACCACCGCAGCCCCTGTCTACTCAAACCCCACGTTCACGAACCGTAATGTCTGGCTGCAAGAGCATGCTGAAGGCACCGCCAAGCAGCGTGTTGATGACGACGCGCATGGTTGATTTGCATGCAAACAAGGGAGATACACCTCCAGCTCACGCTCGCGTGCGTGCGTGCACGAGTGTGCGAGAGGGAAAAGTGTGCGATTGTCTCAAAATGGACGCCCCCTACCCCCAAAGCAGCACAGCCACGGCGTGTGGGTGAGAGCCGGTGTGCCTGGTCTGTCTGATCGCTGGTGGTTGGTTGGTTCGTTTTGATTGGTTGGTTGGTTGGTTGGTGGGTTGGTTGGTGGGTTGGTAGTGCAGCGGAACGGTGAGGACAGGAAACGGTGGGGAGTGGGCCCAGTTTGGTGTGTTGCCGCCGTTGATGATTTGCAAGTGAAGCAAGCGAGAGAGAGAGAGAGAGAGAGAGAGAGAGAGAGAGAGAGAGAGAGAGAGAGAGAGGAGCACAGTGAGTGCACGGCGAGAGCGATTGAGAGCAAGATGTGCTGTTGTGAGACTGCAGCGCTCACGAGCCAACAGACGAGTCGTCGCCAACAATCATCACACACAAAACAAAGCTAAACAATGGTAACAGCAAAGGGCAGACGTGGACAAGGCAATGCCCCATCGTGACCACACACACATACACACACAGACCAAGCACAATGGCAAGGGTGTGCGTGTAGTCCAAGCAGCCAGGCACGAACACATCAACCCCATAAACACATCAAAACACAAACACACACACACACACACAGACATTGGGAACCAACTGCTGCTGTGTCTCCTACCCTTATCTGGCGGTGGTGTCGTCCTTGGATCGTTTTGTCTCTCTCTCTCTCTCTTGTTGTGAATGCCGAAGCGCACAAAGGAGAGGACAGAGGGGCGAGGGAAAGGCACGCACACACACACACACACACACACACAAGAGACAGGCAGGCAGGCAGCACGACAAAGAGCAGGAAGGAAGGACAAGCCCCAAAGACCCCCCAAGCCCCCAAGCAAGCAAGAAAGAAGGCACAAGCAAACAAGGAAGAAAGCAAGAAGGCGGCCTTGCTTGTCGGGGGTGGCGTTGTGCGTTGTTTGTTGCGCGCTTGTTGTTGTTGTGTTTGTGTTTCTGCAACGCTGCTGCTTGTTGTGCTTGTGCCATTTTTTTTTTCTTGTTGTTGGCGCACTGGCTGGTATTGATGAAGATATTGCTAGATTTCTCCGCATATAACTTCGCAACTACACGCTTCCGTTCGCGCAGGTAGGAGTGGTAACGACATGTCAGGTTTCTCGTGGCCGTCAGCGATTTTGTTCGTTCGTTGGTTGCCCGCAGGCTGCAAAGCAAAACAACTGCCTGCAAGCAAGCAAGCAACGGTTCCACAGGCAGTCAGTCAAGTCAGGCAGGAAGCGGTTGGTCGTGGTTGGTTGGTTGCTGCACGCACAGCACAGCGCACAGAACAGCGCACAGCGCACAGCGCACACTCTCACTCAGCGCACAACAACAGCAACGCGCGTGTTGGTGTAGGTGTGTTGGTCTTGTTCGTCGGTGTTTCATTCTTGGCGCAACAAACAAAACAAGCAGGCAAAGAGAAAGCCAGGCCAGCCAGCACGTCAAGCTGATACGAAGCAGGACCCAGAAAGAAAGGGTTGGTGCAGACCTACGCATGCGCATCCAATCCAACCAGCACACGCACACGCACACGCGCACACACACGCACACGCACACGCACACACGCATCCAATCCAACCAAGTCCCGACCCGAGCACTTTGCATCTTGCTTGCAACTCTGAGGGCGGTTAGTCTGGCGCTCGTACCGTTGTCACTCCCATCAAGTGAGCTGGTGCGCTGTTTTCTTGCATGAGCATTGCCTCCAGTTCCCATCCCTCCTCGTTTGCTTGCCACCACCCTTCCTTTCATCCCCTCAGCCCTTCACACCATTTCCCATTTCCCCACCCTGCTTTGTGCTCCTCGGCACGCCCTTTTTTCTTGTGCCCATGATAGCCCCGGCAGCGCTTGTTCCACAGCACACGCCGGTACCACTCGAAGCAGCAACAGCAGCAACAGCAGCAACAGCAGCAACAGCAGCCATGTTGGCTCCACGAGCAGGATCATGGGAGGATGACGAACACCCACAGCCACAGGAGTGCTTCCTCCGCCGCAATGAGAGTAGATCATTTGGCATCTGCATCGCCACCGCGCCCATCAAACAGCGCGTGTCAAGCGCAAGCAGTAGCACCATCAGTCTTGCCACAGGCAGTAGCGACCGCACTGCCCATCGCCGCTCACATTCCCGCCGGCCAAGCAACACGTCCAACCCGGACTTTCTTCAAAACCAGCAGCAACACCAGAAACAAAACCAACGGCAGCAGCAGCAGCAGCAGCAGCAGTTTGTGCATATCGTTGACAGCACGGGCCACGGTGGCCAGCTGCGACCCGTGTGTGCCACAGCGACACCACAGGCGGGCGATGTCATCACAAAGGTGAACGGCACCCCCGTTGGCAACATCAACCATGACGGCATCATCAACCTCGTGCGCGCCGCAGGCGACATCTTGCACATCACGTTGCTCCCGCTCGGCGTGAAGCAGGCTGTTGTCAGCAGCGCGCTCGCCGCCCACCGCCGCACCTCCATTGCCAGCCACAGCACGGCACCGTCCACGCCGCTCGAGTGGCACCCGGACGCAAAGGACGAGGACCGCTTCTTCGCTTCCTCACAGCGGCAGCCGCTGGCGGTGGAGCAGAACCGCCAGCAAGGGATGGGAGACAGCGAGGACGAGGCGAGACGCGCCGCTGCAGATTTGCGGTCGCTGCACGTGTCCTCCAGGCGCCAGGATCACGCCCCTCGCGGGGCCTGGGGACAGCAGCAGCAACAACAGCAACAACAACAGGAGCAACAGCAACAGCAGGGTTACTTGCGCCAGTACCACAGTCAGCGCCGCTTCTACCGCCGCCATCGCAGCCAGCGACCACAGCAGCTGCAGCACCACCGACGCCAGGCCATTCCACGCTCCGTGTCTGAGCATTCATCACACCGCTCAAGAAGCACAAGTGCACACGGGCGTCAGCAGCAGCAGCAGCAGCAGGACGGTGCCACGCCAAGGTTCCATTACCGAGCCGCACACGGCGGCGGTGCTGTGAGCCTGGACCAGCCACCCATGCAGCAGCAGCAGCCGCGACAGCAGCAGCTGCGCCAGGCACAGCCCGTGCACTTCTCCTCGCACCCAGGCCGCCCAAGTGGCACACGCGTGTCGGCGTCCTCGGCAAGCAAGCCAGGGGCTCGTGGTCCAAAGCTGGCAGTGTCTGCACCCACAGGCGTGTCTGCTTGGTCGTCCATGCACCAACAACAGCAACAGCAACAACAGCAACAGCAACAGCAACGCGCTCCCTCAGCACCATCCACACAGTATCAAGGGCCACAGCCACAGCCACATCAGCAGCCGCTGCCTGCGCTCTCCGTAGAGTTTTCATGCCGCGGATCGAAAGGAGCCATTGTGTTGCGCGGGAAGGCGCTGAAATCACTCCCAACTACAGATCTGACGCAGATGCTGCGCGCCGAGGACCTCTTGCAGGCCCACGCGTCGTACAGCGAGGTGCGGCACACAAGCACGCGTACTCCCGGGCACACTCATCACCACCATCCCCACCGTCAGCAGAACAACGTGCAGCCAGCGCAACCAAACTTGATTCCCACAAGGACAAGGACGCTGAGCGCGACTTCGAGTGATGGGGGCCCCATCACCATCACCACACGCGGTGGTAGCGTGCTCGGGTTCACTCGCGAGCCGTGTTTGGAGATGGTGACAACAGCCAGCCGCTCGCATGCCCTCTTCCTCGTCACCGTGTGTCGCACGCTCACCTGGCTCAACCAGCACGGATTCCGCCTCGTGCGCGCGCCGCTGCTCACCACCAGCCTGCCTGCAGGCACAAGCACCCTAACCGCCAAGGCGGCGACCCTGTACTTGGAGCAGCTGCCCAAGTCGGCGCTGCTGCGGGATTCCGGCTGTGACGTGCTGGAGGAGGCATTTCCTGGCCACCCCGCAACAACAGCAACAACAACAGCAGCAACAACAGCAACAACAGCCGCAGCACAGGCAGCAACCGCATCGGCCTGTGCACCGCAGAAGCGCGACCAGTGGTTTGTGCTGCACGTCGCTTCCTCGCACATCACCGTGGTAGATGCGCCCATGCGTGCGCTCTCCTCTGTCACGGACACCATCCAGGAGGCTGTGGACCACTTGGCCGAGCAGACAGCGACGGCAGATGTGCAAGTGTTGCATCGCACGCATGAGCCGTCGATTGACGTGTTTGATGTGGAGCACCTTGGCCGTGTTGGGCGCACGCTTCACCCGGCCCACAAGTTGCTGGTGCCGTTGCAGACTGCACTGGGCCGCCGTGGGTGGTTGTGCCATGCCGTCCCCTCCCTGCTCAAGGGCGTGGAGGAGGAGACATGCTACCTCTTCACCCCGCCCGCGTGATGATGATGATGATGATGATGATGATGATGATGATGATGATGATGATGATGATGATGATGATGATGATGATGATGATGATGATGATGATGATGATGATGATGATGATGATGATGACGATGATGATGATGATGGCTCGAAAGCAATTGGGTTGGAACAGGGGTTCTTTGAACATTAGCAATTGAGAGCGTGTGTGTGTTCTACGAGTGTGTGTGCGTGTGCGTGTGCGAGGCACTGGCGACAGTAATGTGAGACTGCAGTGATGACTCAAGAGTGTCGTAGAATCAGAAAGCAAGCATTGCCATGTGTATGTCGTGTTGTTGTGTTGATAGGATGTGACCGCCACCTTTGTGCTGTGTCCGTGTTCGCTTCGCGCTTTACCCATCAGAGTGAGTCTTTTTTTTGTCAAAACGGCAGACGAGCACAATACACGTGAGTCATGCCAGCAGCGCAAGCGACAGCGAATGTGCGGGTGTGCTGGCGTGCATGCATGGCTTATGTTGGGAGTCCGTGAGTCAGCGTTGGTCAACGCTCTCAGGGAAGACACGACAGGCAAGGCAAAGGTAAGAACAAAAGGCAGCACGTGCATATGTACACAGACACAGTGCAGCCGGAACGCGAGAAGAAGAAAGAAAGAAGTGAAGGAGGAGAAGGAGGAGAAGGAGGAGAAGGAGAAGAAGAAGGAGAAGAAGAAAAACAGCAAGACACGAAAGCACGGTCCAATCAGGCGACGTTGGGCAGGCAGAAAAAGCAAACAGCGGGGCAATACTAATGCCCCGCGCACTGGGCAGCGCCACGATAACAGGAGGGCTGGGGGAGGGGCAAAGAGCAAGGCACTGCCGATCACACATACACACATCACAGAGTGCAGGGCTGAAAACCCATTGTAGTGCAGCAGAGGAAGCAGGAGGAACCACACACACACAGACACAGACACAGACACACAGACACACATAGACACACACACACACACACACACAGACACACACACACACAGACACAGACACAGACACACACACACACACACACACACACACACACAGAGACATGCGCAGTGCAAGAGGACCGCTCGCCATACCGCGCCGTGCAGCTATTTTGGTTGGCGAACTGTCTTGTGCACCACTTGTGTCGCCGAGCCGCCAACCTCACGCCTGACACGCGTGAGCGTTTCCACCCAGTCCTGAAACACATCCTTGTCTGATATGCCGGGCTTGTCGCTGGTGCATTCAATCTCAAGCAAGCGGTCGTTCCCGAGCACGAGCGTAAACGCCGTGTTGTCCGTGCGTTGCGGGAAGGAGATTTCCCGCAGCTTGCCAAGATGCACATAGTCAACCTCCTCTCCATCCACCTGTCCGAGAAAACACAGAGCGTGAGTGAGAGAGAGGGGGGGGGGGAGAGACAGTGTGTGTGTGTGTGAGTGAGTGAGTGAGTGAATGTGTGAATGTGTGAATGTGTGTGAGTGAGTCAATGTACAAGTGGGTGTGACACTATCAGCACACACACCGACAGACAGACAGACAGACAGACAGACAGGCAGGCAGACAGACAGGCAGGCAGGCAGACATACAGACAGACAGACAGACAGAAACAAGAGCAAGGAGAAACGAAAACAAAACGCACCTCCTTGTACCAGGTGAGGAGAGCACCCTCAAGCACGAAGAAGTACCGCAGAGGCTTGAGCTTCTTGAAGGAGAAGCGGCGTCCAAGGGATTTGACACCGGACATCTTCTTCCGATCAGGCAGCACGGTGAGCCACGCGCTCTTGTCGCCGCGCTCGGGTGCATACTCCAGCGTCTTGATGGGAGCTGTGGCGGGCCCAAGTGTCGTGCCTGCCTCGTTCTTGGCCACCATGCGAAACACGTACTCTGTGCTTGGCTTCAGGCCATCCACGCTACCAAAGTTGTTGTCAAGCGGGTCCTTGACGGTGGTGGACTTGCCCCCGCCGCTGGGTGTGGTGTCAAAGCCTCCTTCGAACCCAGGGAACGCGGGCATCGCTTGCAGCTTCACCTCGTGGATGACCTGCCCTTGCAACGATGGCCATTTCAGGGTGATGCTGTCGGACCTGCGCCTGTCCTCCACTTCTCCTGGCACCTCCAAGATGGGCTTCACATTTGGGTCACCTTGCGCCGCCTGCGTCTCATCAAACCCAAAGAAGCCATAGTCCAAGTCGTCCTCAGCCATGATGTGGGCGTGTGTGTGTGTGTTGTTGTTGTTGTTGTTGTTGTTGTTGTTGTTGTTGTTGTTGTTGTTGTTGTTGTTGTTGTTGTTGTTGTTGTTGTTGTTGTTGTTGCTGTTGTTGTTGTTGTTGTTGTTGTTGTTGTCGTCGTCGATGTCTGCTGCTGTTGTTGCTGTTGCAATTGTCGCCGTCACTGCCGGTACTGCGATTCGTGTTGCTGCTGCCTGCTGTGGGTTGTTGCAGAGAGATGTGCCAGCGCGATCACAGTGTCACATCAAGTGGTCGCAACCCCACTCATCAACCAACCAAGCCCCGCCAACACGCACAAACACAAACAACCAAGCTTGGCGGTGACGTTTGCCTTGTATTGCCGATAATTGGCGAATAATTCCCATCACTTTTCCGTATCCACACGAGTGAAGCCAGCCAGTGCAGGTCGCTCGTTCGCGCACAGCAGTCTGCCTCCTTTCTCCCTCCTCGCTTGCTTTCTTGTGTGTGTGTGTTGCGTGAGTGTGTGACGAGAGAGCCAGCACCAGTCATGCATCGCAAGAGCACTGCGCCAGATGTACACCTGTACAACTTGACGCTGCAGAAGACGGCCCGCATCAACCAAGCCGTGCACGGCAACTTTGCTGGCACAAAGCAACAGGTTCGTCTGTGCCAGTGCGTGTGCACGTGTGCGCGTACGTGTGCTGCTGGGATTGCGTGTTGGTGTTATGTCTAAGCGTGGTGGGGTGTTGGGTGCTTGTCTGTTGCATGCGTGCGTCTGCACGTGATGGAGCATTTGTACCACAGGCAGCAGTTTGTCGTTGCTTTGTTGCCGTGGCTTGTACGTGCACTCTTTGTGTGTCGAGCAAAAAACAATCGGACGAAGTGACGTTGAGGTTGACCTTCGTGCGTGGCGTTGTGTAACTTGTGCTTTGCAGTTGATTGTCGTCGGACGTGGCAAGATCCTTGAGCTGCTCAAGCCAGACAGCACCACTGGAAACCTGACGTCTCTTTGCGGTACACACGGACATGCGTTGCAAACTGTTGTGTTTGATGCGCTGTTGGTCCTTTTTGTTGAGCGCCTACGCGTGTGCAAGCACTGTGTGTGTGTGCGTGCGTACACGTGCGTGTGGATGTCGTGCACGTGGATACGTGTGCGCGTGCATGTAGTGTATGTGAATGCATTTGTATGCGTGCGTATGCATGTGCATGTGGGTCATAACACTGGTTACGTCGCTAACGTGCGCCTTGCATGGTTGTGGTTGTGGCTGATTAGTGACGGAGATTTATGGCGTTGTTCGGTCACTGCAGCCGTTCCGCCTGACTGGCGGCAACAAAGACTACCTCGTCGTCGGCACAGACTCTGGCCGGTGCGTTGCGAGACGCCTTTGCTACGTGTCCCTTGTTGGGTGACAATTAACACGCGTTGACAACGCTTTCCGCACACGCACACACACACACTTCCTTGCTTGTGTTCATGCACGAGCTCGAATTCAGTACAGCCACACTCAAATATTTCACTCACGTGTGCACGTGCACCCTGCAGCATCACTGTGCTAGAGTATGACACAGACACCAACCTCTTCAAGAAGGTGCATCAGGAGACGTTTGGCAAATCTGGCTGCCGCCGCATTGTTCCCGGCCAGTACCTCGCTGCCGACCCCAAGGGCCGCGCCGTCATGATCGGTACGCGTGGTGCTGTGGGCGCATGGGTGTGTGTGTGAGTGTGAGTGTGAGTTTGTGTGTGTGTGTGTGTGAGTTTGTGTGTGTGTGAGTGTAAGTTTGGGTGTGTGTGAATGTAAGTTTGGGTGTGTGCGTGTGAGTGTGAGTGTGAGTGTGAGTGTGAGTGTGAGTGTGAGTGAGTTTGAGTGTGTGTGTGTGTGTCCTTGAGCTGTTGCTGCTTGTTGTGTCGGTGTCATCCATCACCTTCTCTCACCTGATTGTGCTACCGTCATCGTTGCTACCATCGCCATTTTTGCTGCCGTTGTCGGTGGTGTTGCGAAGGTGCCTTTGAGAAGCAGAAGCTCGTGTACATTTTCAACCGTGACGCCGCCGCCCACCTCACCATCTCCTCCCCGCTCGAGGCTCACAAGGTGCCGTGATGCAATGGATGCGTTGATTGCTGGTTCGCTGTTGGAGCATGTGCGCATTTTGCTTGGCTGATATGCAGTATCACGCTCACCAAAACGACACACACACACACACACACACACACACACACACACACGCACTCGACCCAGTCGCACACGATTGTGTATGACACTGTTGGGGTTGACGTTGGCTTTGACAACCCGATCTTCGCGTGCCTTGAGGTTGATTATGAGGAGGTGGACGAGGATCCCACCGGCGAGGCGCGGCAGTTCCTCACCCAAAGCCTCACGTTTTATGAGCTCGACCTTGGTCTGTCCACACTGCACGTGCTCGCTTGGTTGTCTTTGTGTTTCCATTTGTTGTCGTTGCGTAGATGTATGGACCCTTCTCCTGTGAGTTGCATGGCGTCCTATTCCACGCACACACACACACTCACACACACTCACACACATGCATAACCATCCTTGCGCTGGTACTGTGTAGGGCTGAACCACGTTGTGCGCAAGGAGTCGATTCCTCTGGATGAGTTTGCAAACAAGCTCGTCTCTGTCCCCGGCGGCAGCGACGGCCCAGGCGGTGCGTGCAGAATAGCAAACAAACAAACAAACAAACAAACAAACACAACAAACAAACAAACAAAACACAACAAACAAACAAACAACACACACACACACACACACGCGCGCGCGCGCGCACATGCGCATGCCGTGTGATTGCGTGTTGTAACGATGCCCACGCCGTTGCCTTTCGCTCGGTTGTTCGCCTGTGGCGCGGAGCTTGTGTTTTTTCATTTGTACGTGTGCTTGACCTGTGTTCTGGCTGGTGCATTGATTTGTGTTCTGACTGATGCAATGGCAGGAGTGCTGGTGTGCTCGCCCGGGCGCATCACGTGGCGGACGTACGGCGAGCACGAGCCCGTGGCCATCAATCTCCCGCGCCGGGACGACCCACTGCGCACCGACCGCGCCCCGCTCGTCACCGCCGTCACCATGCACAAGACCAAGCGCATGTTCTTCTTCCTCGTCCAGGTGATGCACCGTGGCGATTGTGGTGGTGTTGGTGGTGATTTGTGACCTGGGCGTGGAAGTGCTGAAAGCGAACGTGTGTGTGCTTGCCAGCCTCTTGTGTTCCTTACTTACACCCTCAACAACACACCATTGTACAAACCAATTCACTCGCACACCCAACTACACACTCACACACACTAACACACAATAACGCACTCACACACGTACTAACACACACACACCCAACTACACACACACACGCACACTACCATTCACACACACTGCAGACTGAGGAAGGGGACCTGTTCAAGCTGACGATGGTTGCGGAGAAGGGTGAGGTGAGCGGCCTCATCATCAAGTACTTTGACACCGTGCCCGTTGCCAACGCCATGTGTCTCCTCAGGAACGGTCTTCTCTTCGTCGCCGCGGAATACGGAAACCAGTGCGTTGCATCATTGCGATGGGGTGTCTGGTGTGGTGCTTGCCGTGTGGTGTGGCGTGTTGGCTGTTGTTGCTGTCGCTGTTCTTGTTTGTCTCGTTTGCACAGCATCTTTCCCTCGTTGTCCGTATGTCTGTGCACGCCCCCTTCCCATGTTTCTCACGTCACATCCCTCCACCGCGTGCCCAAACGCCAAACCCTCCCTCCCTCCCTCCTTCCTTCCTTGCACCGCCTCTGTGTGCCAGCCACTTGTATCAGATTGCGAGTCTCGGCGACAATGAGGACGAACCCTCGTACCTCAGCATCGACCCCCTCGACAAGGTGCGTGCAATACCCGCCACCTTTGATCACCACTGCCACGATGACCCATGGCAGAGTTGCTTCATTGCGTCCTGTTGGCCAGCCTGAACCCCTTGGCAACTGCGCCGTGTCGTGCAACGCGTTTCGTCTCATTCTGTACACATGCGTGTGTGTGTGTGTGTGTGCGGGTTGGCTGTGTGTGTGTGTGTTTGCCTGTGTGTGTGTGTTTGTGTGTGCGTTTGTGTGTGCGTGCGACCGAACAGATCCACTACTTCCGCCCGCGCGACCTGCTCAACCTTGCGCTCGTTGATGACCAAGAGAGCCTCCATCCCATGATCGCATGCCAGGTGCGCGCTCCAACATGCTCTGCCACCACACAACCCCCGCGCTGTCCTATCCCCCCCCACCACACACACTCTCTATCCACCCACCAAGCGTCACGCCTCACCTGACTGTCGTGTTCCCCTCCCCATTCGCCTCCCTTGCCTCTTCTTACAACACCAGCTGGCCGATCTGCACGAAGAAGAGACACCGCAGCTGTACGCCCTCTGCGGACGGTGAGTCCCGTGGCAGTGCATACCTATTGATTGTACATGTGCACACAGTTGCCGAGGCAATGGCGGACACACGTGCACGCGTGCACACATGTGTGCATTGATTGCTCAAAGTCACACATGTGACCATTTCTCCCATCTCTCCCTCAACTCTCTCACACACACACACTCACACACACACACACTCTCTCTCACTCACACACACACACACACACTCACACAACGCACTTGTTGTCACTGCCGTGTGCAGCGGGGCCAAGTCGTCGTTCCGCGTGCTGCGCCACGGCCTGGAGGTGTCTGAGGTGGCCGTTTCGGAGCTGCCCGGTAACCCGAGCGCTGTCTGGAGCGTCAAGCGCCACGTCGACGGTACGCACACACACACACACACACACACACACACGCACACACACGCACGCACACACGCACGCACACACGCACGCACACACACACACACACACAAGGTCATGCATGCATCTTTCCAGGTTTGATTGTTGAATCGTTGTTCCCTCACGTTTCCTTCACGCTCACACGTACACAGATGAGAGCGACACGTATCTTGTGCTGTCGTTTGTGGACAAGACACTAGTGCTTGGGATTGGGGAAACGGTTGAGGAAGTGAAGGACAGCGGGTTCCTTGAAGAAGTGCCCACGCTCTCCGCCTCGCGCATTGGCGACGACTCCTTGCTCCAGGTCCGCGATTGCACCCTCGACGCACGCCATCACACAGATACACAGACACACACAGACACAAAGACACACAGACACACACAGACAGACACTCACTCACACTCACACTCACCGCGACGGCCGATGTTCTTCCACGTGCAGGTGTACCCTGGCGGTATCCGGCACATCCGGTTTGACCAGCGGGTGAAGGAGTGGAAGGCGCCCGGCAGCACTGCCATCACCAACTGCGCCGTCAACGAGCGGCAGGTTGTCATCACCCTCTCCAGCAACGAGCTTGTCTACTTTGAGCTTGACCGCGCTGGCCAGCTCAACGAGTACACGGAGCGCATTGAGATGACAAGCAAGGTCACTGCCATGGCGCTTGCTCCTGTTGCCGAGGACGCGTTTACGTCGCAGTTTCTTGCGCTTGGCCTTGAGGACAACACGGTGCGCGTGCTGTCGCTGGACCCGTCGTCCTGTCTGCAGCCGCTCAGGATGCAGGCCCTCCCCGGCGCCCCATCCTCCCTCTGCATCATCGAGGTGCGCGCGGGGGGCTATGTTGTGTGTGTGTTGTGTGTGTTTGTGTGTTTGTGTGTGTGAGTGTGTGAGTGTGTGAGTGTGTGTGTGTTTCTGAGTGTGTGAGTGTGTGTGTGTGTGTGTGTGTGTTTGTGCGTGTGCGTGTGTGCATGCTTGACTATGCTGATCGCGGGCGCATGCGTGTGCTCTCTTGATCTTGTGCCATTTTTTTCTCTTCAACTTCACCAACGCCCAATTCCCAATCCGCGGGTCCTGCCTGCCCTGTTTGCGAACGTGTGCATCAGATTGCGGGCCAAGCTGGCGAGCCCGGGACGCTGCAGCTGCACATTGGTCTTGCAAACGGCGTTGTCTCCCGCAGCACCATGGACAAAGTCACAGGTGGGCAGTGGCAGCATGCTTGCTGCATGTTGATGGAGGCGGTGGGGGGGGGGAGAAGTACTTCGCATGTTATCTGGTCATGGTTGAAAGAACGCGTGCGCGGCAGTTTGTTGACCTAAGTTGGCTGACAATGCGCGCGTGCGTGCGTGTGTGCGTGTGTGCGTGTGTGCGTGTGTTTCCCTCTGCAGGCGACTTGTCTGACTCGCGCACGCGGTATCTGGGTGTGCGTGAGGTTCGCCTGTTCCCCGTCCGTGCGCACGGCCACCCTGCCGTCCTAGCGCTCTCCACGCGCCCCTGGATCGCCTTTACATACCAGGTGAATGCATGGGGCGATGACTGTGTGTATATGCATTTGTGCTTGTGCATTTGTGCATGTACATGTGCGTGTGTGCATGTGTGTAACGAGTGTTGTATTCGCTCAGACAATTAGACATGTTTGCTGGCATTGTTTTCGTGCCGTGCTGATCATGCATGATCACCACCATCCATATGACCACCATCATCCCCATGCATTCACCACGACAGGGCCAACCGCGCATGGCGCCGCTGTCATACGAAGCGCTCGAGTACGCGCACATGTTCTGCTCGGAGCAGTTGCCAGAGGGCATTGTTGCCGTGGCAAAGAACACTCTGCGCATCCTGTCGCTGCAGAACCTCGGCTCCATCTTCAATCAGTCTACCATCCCGCTCGCATACACCCCGCGCAAATTCTTCCTCGACGAGAAGGTGCAGTGTGGGAGGGAGTGCTCGAGTGAGAGAGTGTGTGTGCGCGTATGCGTATGCGTGTGCGTGTGTGTGTGCGTGTGTGTGCGTATGCGTGTGCCTGTGTGCGTGTGCGTGTGTGTGTGTGTGCGTATGCGTGTGCCTGTGCGTGTGCGTGATATACTTCCATGCCATGCCGTGTCGTGCACCAGCACTTGCGCTTTTTTTGGTCTTATCACTCCCCGCACACACCAACGCTGCTGCTGCTGTCGCTGCCACCAGACTGCGATTGCGGTGATCATTGAGGGCGATCAGGCCACGCTCACGGCGCAGGAGAAGAAGGCCCGCCTCGTACGTTGTGGCGTTAAGGGAGGATCGAGGTTGAGGGTGGCAGGGTGTGTAGGGGCCTGGAGATAGAGAGCGTGCAGTGAGCTTGCTGTTTGACCGTCTTCCATCGTGGATATACTGCACCCTACCACGCATACACTTAGTCATGCACTCGCTCATGTGTTCACTCGCTCACGTACTCACTGATTCACTGGCGTTGGTCACTCTTTGGCCTCTCGGTGCACAGAGCGGCGCGGCGAAGAAGGAGGAGGGCGATGATGACATGATGGTGGACGACGACGATGACATGATGGTTGATGATGACGACGAGGCTTCAAAGCCCAACGGCGACGCCGCACCAAGCAAGGTCAGAGGAATGCAGTTTGGAAAGGGGGGGGATGAGGATGAGAGGGTGTGCTGGCAAGCACTACCTCGCTGCCACTACAGCGTGGACAAGACAACACAAAATGGGCTGGAGACACGTTCACATTCACGCACACTCCAGCATCGCCACACCATCACCCGCGTTGCACGCCACCTACCTTATTTCTCACTTCCATCATGTGTTTGTGTATCCATGTGTGCTTGTGTGTGTGTGTGTGTCTGTGTGCGTGTCTGTGTGCGTGTCTGTCTCTTCCCCTCTTCCCCTCTCCCTCTCCCTCTCCCTCCCTCTCTCTCTCTCTCCCTCTCCCTCTCCCCCCCCTCTCTCTCCCCCCGCCTCCCTGCCTACCCCCGCTCTCTCCTCTCTCCCCCCCTCTCTCTTCCCATGCACAGCCGCCGCTTGACGTGCAGCAGTTTGGGGAGCCGCGCGTCGAGGATGGTCGGTGGGCGAGCCAGATCAGGGTCGTCGACGCAAAGGAGGGCAAGACCTTGCAGACTGTGCAGCTCGCACAGGACGAAATGCTCACCAGGTGCGTGCGTATGCTTGTGTTGTGTGCTGTGTTGTGTGTTGTGTTGTGTGGTGTGTGGGTGCGTCTTGTACATGCGTGAGCGTGGCTGTCGCTCCTTTTCGTAATTTGCGGTTCTCACGCTGATTTGATCTGCCCTTGCTTCACCCTGGCGTGTCTTTGGTTCTGGTTGTGCGCAGCATATGCAAGATGCAGTTTACTGTTTCGCAGGGGTTCACGCACGTGATTGTTGGCGGCGTGCGTGGCTGGGATGCGAAGAAGAACACGTTTGCGTCTGCGTTTATCGACACGTACCTCTTCTCTGCGCCCGACGGCTCGGCGCGCCTCACAAAACTCGACTTTGTGCACCGCGTACGTGTGCACGCCGATGTATTTGGAGGGAATCGGAGAGGTGGGCGGGCGGGCGTAAGGAAGGAAGGAAGGAAGGAAGGACGAAAAACACAGATTGGCGAATGGATGCTGGTGGATGGAAGATGGTGGGTAGAGGCGTGTGGCTGTGTGCTGCAACAGCCAGTTCAACCACATGCGCTGTGCTCACATTGACTTTCCTCGCCGTGGCATTGCTTGCGTGTGTGTGTGTGTGTGTGTGTGTGTGTGTGTGTGTGTGTGTGTGTGTGTGTGTGTGTGTGTGTGTGTGTGTGTGTGTGTGTGTGTGTGTGTGTGTGTGTGTGTGTGCAGACGGAGGTCGAGGCGATGCCGTGTGCGCTGACGCCGTTTGCGGGGCGTCTCATTGCCGGCGTCGGAAACATTGTCCGCATCTACGACATGGGCCGCAAAAAGCTCTTGCGCAAGTGCGAGAACAAGGTTGGTTGCTGTGCTCGTGTGTCGCCTGTGTGTTGTGTGTGTGTGTATGCGTTGCTCCAAATTGCTCGGTGATTTTCAAGTGTGCACTGCGCCACCATTTCAGATATCAGCTCACTCGCGTTCGTGTCCACCCATCACCCACACCTTCCTCCCCTCTCGCCCTTTCTCACCATGCCCTCCGTGCAAAACAAACAACACCACGGCCACAACCACCCCCAGCACCTGCCAAGCCGCGTTGTGGACATTGAGGTGATGGGCACGCGCGTCGTTGTAGCCGACCAGCGCGAATCCGTCTTCTTCCTCAAATACAAGGTACCTATGGTGTATGTGTTTGTGTATGTATGTATGTCTATGTGTGTGCGTACTCATGTGTATGTATGCTTGCCCGCATGCTGGGTTTGCCCGTGCTGTGCGTCACCCCCATGACTCGTTACGAATCCCTCACTTCTACCTTGCTGCCGTCTCCAGCCTACAGAAAACGTGCTGAGCGTGTTTTGCGACGACACGACGCCCCGCTGGTGCACTGCGATGCTCATGGTCGACTACTCGACTGTCTGCGTTGCAGACAAGTTTGGCAACGTCTCCGTGGTGCGTCGTGCTTGCGTGTATGAATGTATGTGTGTGTGTGTGTGTGCATTCTTGTGTGTTTGCTTGTGTGCGTTTCAATGTGTTTGCGAGGATGCACCATGTTGCCGTCGCATGTTCATGGTGCATCTCACATGGTTCATCCCACACTGCCTCGCACCACCAACCACCGACCATGCTGTTCAGCTGCGCTGTCCGGACGATGTGACGGACACGCTGCAGGAGGACCCGAGCGGCGCAAAGGCGTTTTGGGCCCGCGGATATCTCAACGGCGCCCCGCAGAAGGTGCCGTACCATCATGATTTGTGATTGTGATTGTGATTGTATGCGCGCGCGGTGTGTGCGTGTGTGTGTGCGTGTGTGTGTGTGTGTGTGTGTGTGTGTGTGTGTGTGTGTGTGTGTGTGTGTGTGTGTGTGTGTGTGTGTGTGTGTGTGTGTGTGCGTGTGTGTGTGTGTGCGTGTGTGTGTGTGTTCTGTGTTCGCCCTCCTTGTGGATCGTTGATCTTTCTTCTGCTACTGCATTCTTGATTTCCTCTTGTCTTGGTTCGCTTCTCACCTCCACACAAATCAACCCGTGCATGTGCGTGTGCGTGCATATGTGTGCAGCTGGTGCAAGTTGCCAACTTCTACATTGGAGAGATTGTGCAGAGTCTGCACAAGACGACGCTGACGCCGAGCGGAACAGAGTGCATTGCCTACACCACCCTCTCCGGCAGCATTGGTGCACTCATGCCCTTCTCGCACAAGGAGGATGCTGAGTTTTTCCAGACGCTTGAGCTTCATCTTCGCCAGGAGCACCCGCCCATCTGCGGCCGCGATCACCTCGCCTTCCGCTCAGCTTACGTCCCGTGCAAGGTACATTTGAACGTATGTGGTGTGTGTGTGTGTGCGTGCGTGTGTGTGTGTTTAGCGTTTGAGTGTCATGAGTGTCGTGTTTACTTGTGTGTGTGTGTGTGTGTGTGTGTGTGTGTGTGTGTGTGTGTGTGTGTGTGTGTGTGTGTGTGTGTGTGTGTGTGTGAGTGTTTACTTCCATGCTTTCCTTTCTGGCTGTTTCGCCTCCACCAACGCCTCCTCTGACCGTGCTGTTACCACCACCACCACCACCACCACCACCACCACCACGCGCAACGCAGTCTGTGATTGACGGGGACCTGTGCGAGGAGTACAACATGCTCTCTGCGTCGCTCAAGTCTGACATTGCCGATGGGCTCGAGCGCACGCCGCAGGAGGTGGCGAAGAAGCTTGAGGAGTTCCGCACGCGCTACGCTTTCTAGGCACGCCGGGTGATTGTGCGATTGTGTGCATGTGTGGTTCTGTTGCGTGACTGTGTGATTGTGTGGTTGTGGTTCTGTTTTGGGTGCTGGCATGCGTTTGTGTTCGCATTGGTGCGGTTCTTGCTTGGTCTCTACTACTTGGCATGTTTACGGGCGGTGTGTGTGTGTGTGTGTGATGGTCAGCAAGAACAAATAAAGGTGTCGTTGTGTACCACTGAACTGAACTGAACTGAACTTAACTGGGAGCTCAGCGGGTCAATCAAGCACAAGCAGGCGACACACGGCGCTGAACAACACGTGTGCTGAATGAACAAGGCGTGTGCTGAACAAGGCGTGTGCTGAACAAGGCGTGTGCTGAACACACATGCCCCCCCCCCCTCACACACACATGCACACACACGCATGCATGCACACGCAGCCGCTGCTGTGAATCCTAAGCTGAGGTGGTAGTGTTGGGGCAACTTGATGGCGACGGCGGTTATGCGGCTTTCTTGTCCTCTGGGGCGCGTGTGAAGACTTGGATGGAGTGCATGCCGGCGACCTCCTCCTTGAGGGCAGACTGCACGAGCCGGTGCTGCTTGATGGTCGGCAGGCCTCGGAACGCCTCGGACTCAACCGAGACGCGGAACGCAGACCCGCACCCGCCTTGATGAGTGTGCGTGCGTACGTGAATGGGAGTGCGAGTGTGAGTGGGAACGTAAGGATGGGGGAGGGGCATAGACACAGGCATAGACAGACATAGACAGACACACGCAGAGACACACAGACACAGACACGCAGAAGCAGGCACAGACACACAGACACAGGCACAGACACACACACAGGCACACACACAGACACAGACACAGACACACATAGACAAACAAAGAACTAACCTGACTGGTCCACGACTTGCACGTGGTCTGTGTTAAACTCCTTCTTGAGCTTGGATGCCATGGTCGCCTCCAGCTGCGTCTCCCGCAGCACGCGGCCAACCTGAAGCTGCAACAGCCACGACAGCAGTCCACATGATGATGTCAGAGCCAACACAGACACAGGCAGGTAAACACAGACACAAGAATGCATACACACACACACACACACACACACACACACGCACACGCACGTGCTGCACGCCAGACTGACCTGTCTCGTCCACACGGCTGCGCGCCTCATATTTGGCCCTGCCGTATTGCTTGTTGTTTAGTTTGTGCTGCTGCGTTTTTTCTGCGCGTCGTTCACGCATTCTCACACACCAGACAAGAAGCAGACAAGCACCGATTGCCGACAACAACGGCCAAGCAACAAGCACGCTCACACTCTCACACCCCCCTTCCCTTCCCTTCCCTTCCCCCCCTCCTTTCCCCACACTCCCCACGCACCAGGACAGGATGCGGTTGTGGTTGAGGATAGCGAGCATTGGGGTGGCTGCGCTTGTGGTGCTGGCGCTCGTGCGGCTGTTCACGCTGTCCGAGACAGACAGTGGTGTGTCAGCAGCATTTCTGTTCAACTTCCACAGCAAACACGTCGCAGACGCGGCATTGCATGACCTGCGAAAGCAACAGCGACACCAGCAGCAGCACCAGTACAGGGAGCTCGTCGCCGACACGGGGTACACGCTGCATGTGCCCGTGGAGTCCCTGGCAGAGGCGCAGCGCCTTGTTCGCCGACTTAACGACGACATCAAGACCACATCAAAGAACCCAAGCAGCGATGGCGGCAGCAAGAGCAGCGCCAGCAACGACGACGATGCGTTGCATCTCGTCTTCTACCCGCTCGATGCCGCCGCCGCTGACGACGCCGCGGCACAGTCGTCGTCCCAAGCAGCGCCGGTGTTGTCGACATCGCCGTTGGCCCTGTCGCCGACCATTGGAACCGCCACTGTCGGCGACGTGCCGTCCCTGATCGACATGCTGTCCTGTGGACCGCAGATAGAGGCAGAGCCCGGTCCGCAGCACGCAGGCGCTGTGTACCATGCCCTGGAGGAGGAGCGGGACATCTGCCGCACCCACTCGCACAACAACCACTTTCTCTGGCTCGTCTCCGATGTCGACACCATCAAGCAGGAGCAGCCCGCACCGGGCTCACGCTTCAACCGCGATCTGGTGCAAAACCTGTTGGCCATGGTGCACCGCTTCTATCCAGCGTACTCGCCGCCCGTGGAGACGCTCATGGGCTTTTCGCTGGCGCAACCCACGTTTGAGCAGCACACGCTCGGCTACAGGCCCGTGCACCCGAAGATGCGACAGACGAACAACTTCTACACCCTGCAGCAGCCGCAGACGCGCGGGGGCATGTACCACATGCCGGCCATATCCCAGTACGTGCGCTGGTACGAGGCGCGGTGCCGCGTGCTCTCGCCACTCCCCTGTTCCCTCAACGCGCACGGCGAGGGCAGCGGGCTCGCTGCTCTGCACTTTATCGAGCAAGGGTTCTTCCACATGATGACGGAGGTGAAGCTGACGCTGGTGTATCCACCCATCGACATTGGCTCCACGCTTCTGCACACGCCGCCGTCGTCTGCGCCTCTCAACTGGCCACCGCAGGACCAACAGCAACAACAACAGCAACAACAACAGCGGGAGAGGAGGAATGCCGGCGAGAGTGTGCGTCCATCGGTGGTGGTGTCGTATCAGCAGCTGCAACACATGCTGGCGCGCGTGGTGCCATCGGAACTTCCCGTGTACAACGCCCGCCGCACGTACCTGCACAACGGGCCCGCGAGGTTGTTTGCGCGGGACACGGAGGTGCTGGGCCGCTGCACCATGGTCATCACCGTGTACGATCGGTATGCAGATGTGCTGAATCGGCTTCTCTTCTACCACGACAGCCTCAACCTTCGCGACATTGTTGTGGTGTGGAACGCAGTCAACCAGCCACCCGTCCCCGTGCCGGCACACGACTTCTACGTCCCTATACAGGTGCTCCGGCAGAGCCGCAACAGCATGAACAACCGCTTCCGGCCGCTGCCGCCGTCCGAGCGAGGGCCACACTCGGACTGCATCGTTAACATGGACGACGACTGGAACATGCCACACCAGGTGCTGTTCCATGGCGTGCGGCTGTGGCACCACCTCTACCGCGACCGCCTCGTTGGCGTCATCAAGCTTGGCCGCCTGCACGGGCGCGACGAGTTTGACAAGAGCAAGTGGGTGTATCTGAAGAACACGAGCATGCCGCAGTCGATGGTGCTGCCGAGCGGGATGGTGTACGACGCCAAGTACATGCACATGTACACGCACGAGGTGCCTGCGGCCCTACGCGAGCACGTGGACAACACGATCAACTGCGACGACCTCCTCATGAACTTTGCGGTGGCGAACCGGACCAAGCTTCCACCTGCCTTTGTGGCAACAAAGGGCGTGCGGCGCGTGGACGTCATCAAGCAGCTGGGCCTGGACAAGGGCCTGTGGCGGCGAAGCAAACACTATGAGGACCGCGACAACTGTCTCAACCTGTTTGCGAATGCATATGGAGGCATGCCGCTGCGCTACACGACAGTGCAGCACGTGATTGACGACCACCTGGGCAACCCGTTCCCGCAGCGGTTCAACATGGACGTGGAGAACGCGGACTCGGACGAGGTCGTGTGCACGCGATGCACTGACGAAAAGGCGGTGGATGATTGCGTAAGGTGCGCTCGCAGGATGCCCGGCACAAAACCGCCGCCAAAGCAGTGATGCAGTGATGTGACACACACAGGCGCATGCGCGTGCGCTGCTGCTGCTGCTGCTGCTGCTGATGCTGATGATGATGATGATGACCGACGATAGATGATGTCGTGTTGAATCGAGCTGTGCTCCCTCAATCGCCCTTGCGTGTGCTTCATGTCATGTCTTATTGACACGAAGACACGATCACCCACCCCCTTGTTACCTTCGCTGCCGTGCAGCCGGACATGTGTGTGTGTGTGTGTGTGTGTGTGTGTGTGTGTGTGTGTGTGTGTGTGTGTGTGTGTGTGTGTGTGTGTGTGTGTGTGTGTGTGTGTACTTTGGTCGTGTTGTTGCTTGTGTGCTCGAACCTGCAGGCGTGTCTGGATATGTGTGCATGTCATGTGCTGCGAACAGTTCTCATTGCCTCCCATACTCCATGATTCCATGTGCTCGCATTGCGCTTGTCTTGTTCACCCTCGTGTTTTGTGTATGTGCGCGTTTATTCGTATGTACAAGTACTGGTTGTTCTGCTCGTGGTTCGACGTACGTACATTCATCCCCGTATCCCCCGTCTCCTCCACACACATGTCCATGCCCACAAGTTACACCGACGCAAACGTGCATGTATTGAAACGACCAAAGGCAGAGATGAGGGAGGGAGGGCAGAGGGGATTCGCAGATAGTTGTTGTTGTTGTTGTTGTTGTTGTTGTTGTTGTTGTTGTTGTTGTTGTTGTTGTTGTTGTTGTTGTTGCTGCTGCTGCTGCTAGCTTGCAATTATCATTGAGTGGTGGCGGTCGAGGCTTCCGCTGCTGGTGCAGCTGTTGGTGTTGTGGCCTTTGTCTTCTTCGTCTTTGGCTGTGCATCACTTGCCCCCTTCTTCTTGACGCGCTTCCCGCTCTTTTTCTTCTTCCGCAACAGCTGCTGCCGCCGCCCAGCGTGGTGCTGCAGCTTGCCTGCAGGGAAGAGAGAGGCGTGAAGACGTGCATGCATGTGTGTGTGTGTGTGTGTGTGCGTGCGTGCGTGCGTGTGTGTGTGTGTGTGTGTGTGTGTGTGTGTGTGTGTGTGTGTACATGTGCGTGTGTGTGTGTGTGTGTGTGTGTGTGTGTGTACATGCAAGTGAGTGAACGAAGCCGGGGAGAATGCGCAAGAAAGAGAAACCGAAAGAGAAAGAGTGAATGAATGTTGTGCGTAAACGAGCGAGCGTGAAAGCGGCACAGGCGACTGTTCAGGGCAGTGATCAAGTTGATCACCACATCGCACCTCTGAGGGCAGTGACTTCCTTGAGACGCCTTTCGTACATGCTGGCAATCCTCTCTTCCTCCTTCTGCTGCCGCTCTAAACAAACGGCAAGGGCCAGCGCAGCAGTGGTGTGTAGGTATGAGCGAATGCATGGCTCATTCTTGCAATGTGTGTATGTGCGTGTGTTGTGTGTGCTGTGTGTGTGTGTGCGTGTGTACTGCGTGCATGTGTGTGTGCATGTGCATGTGTTGTGTGTAGTGCTGCGGCTGTGCGCATGTGACAACGGAACACACGAAAGAAACACCGTGTCACAACAGCTGCAACAGCTGTACACGCGCATGCAGACACCACCAGCAGCGCGTTGGGCAGAGCGTCGCGTCTTACCGATATCGGCCTTCTCCTGGGCGGAGATTGTGTCGACGATGGGATCAGACGGCAGATACAGCAGCTCCTCTCCAGGCGCAAACGGCTCTTCGTTGCGTTGAAGTTGCAGCTTGAGCCAGGACCAACCTGATTGCATGTGGTGGCGGGTGAGTGAACTCAGACGTCATCATGCTGGAGTGCGCGCTTACACACAAGCATGCGCGTCACAGACACAGAGACACAGACGCCCACATATATACACACAGACACGCACACACACACACACACACACACACACACACACACACACACACACACACACACACACACACACACACACACACACGCAGACACACACACAGGTAACTGTACCTGCACGGATTGGATGCGGGTCCGTGTGGCGGTGTCATAGACATCAACGGTTCCCCACGAGGTTCCAAAGTACATGCGCTCGCCACGCCGACTGAAGCACGCCGTGGGCCCGAGGTGTGTCTGCACCCCCTCTGGTGCACTCGCCATAATCGGTATCACGTGCTCAGACTCCTGCAACCACAGCGTGCACATGTGTTAGAGAGAGTCGGAGTGCACGTTGTGTGTGTGTGTGTGTGTGTGTGTGTGTGTGTGTGTGTGTGTGTGTGTGTGTGTGGCTTGTTTGTTTGTTTGTTTCTTTAGTTGCACATGCGTTGTTCGTGCAAAGAGCAAGTGCCACCCATACCTGGATGCACATGCCCTCGTTCCCTGGATCAGGTTTGATGGTGATGAGCAAAGGGTCCAACGCTGCTGGGCACACGAGCAGCATGTGTTCATTCCTGCGTGCGTGTGCGTGCGTGCGTGTGTGCGCGTGTGTGTATGTAACGGCCACAGACGGTGGGTGAGGAAGAGAGAGAGAGAGAGAGAGAGAGAGAGAGAGAGAGAGAGAGAGAGAGAGAGAGAGAGAGAGAGAGAGAGAGAGAGTGTGTGTGTGTGTGTGTGTGTGAAGGAAGCAAGTTGTGTGTTTGCGGCAAGTTGTGTGTTTGCGGCAAGTTGTGTGTTTGCGGCACATTTACGCCGCGCCTCGCAGTAGAGTCACCTTGGGTGGATGGCGCACGCCTTTGCCACGCATGACAAGGACTTGCGGAAGCAAGCTTTGCCCTTCTTGACGTCGAACACGACGACTGTCTGGTCTGCGGCCCACGTGAGGAGCTTTCGCCCATTGCGCGACCACGAGAGGCCAAGCACAGCCATGGTGTGCTTGTCCAAGCTTGTAGCGGGGCTCTTTGTGTCAAAGTCCCACAGCACAACTGCATTCCAGCGCGTGCGTGAGAATGTGTGTGAACGTGTGAGTGTGAGAGAGAATGTGTGTGTTGGGGGGGGGGGTTCTGTGCGTGTGCGTGTGTGAGTGTATCTGATACTCGTCCAAGTGCGTGCGCGTGCGCGCGTGTGAAGCAGCTCCAAATGTCTCCATATGTGGTGCATGCTTCTCCACATCACACGTGGTTGCAACGTGCACCTTTGCCGTCGCTGCATCCCGTGGCGAGAAGCGAGCCTTTGCGGTTGAACTTGGACGTGAGGGCGATGCCCTCCTCCAGCGTGTGTTCAATCACATCTGGAATCTTGGTCCCAAACGGGTCTGTGCATGAGAGAGAGAGTGTGTGCGTGTGTGTGTGAATGTATGTGTTCATGTGTGTTCATGTGAGTGTGAGTGTGTGAATGTATGTGTTCATGTGTGTTCGTGTGAATTACTGCGCATCTGTGTTGATGTTCGTAGATGTTGGTGTGTGTGTGGATGTGGATGTGTCTGCACCTGCGTGTTTGTCTGTTTGTCTGCTTGCTTGCCTTCCTGTCACTGGCAGTGCGCAAGCACGCACGACCACGACAGGAACATTCACACCCACCAAGAAGCGGCGTCTGCATGATGGTGGTGGTCCGTGTGTGCTGTCCGTTTACGTTACCGTTGGGCGCCAAGCGTGAACGAATTTTTTGTGGTGTCGTGGGCGGGTCTCGCTCGTCTTCCTCTTCCTCTTCTTGTTGTGCTTTGTGCTTGTGTATTTGGTGGTGCAACGCAGTGGGAGGACGCATTTGTAACACAAGAAGAAGAAGAAGAGACAAGGGGGCAGGTGTCATGGATACAAGAACAAAGGATGTTGTTGGTTGGGTACAATGTGTGTGTGTGTGTGTGTGTGTGTGTGTGTGTGTGTGTGTGTGTGTGTGTGTGCGGTGCACAAATGCACGCGGAAACACGGTTGTTAAACGAAACACGGGCACACGACAAAACCACAGCAGCTTAGGAGCTGTGGTCTGGGGACTCAAACTTGGCGAGCTCGACGAGCGCCTGGGACCAGCGCACAAACTTCCAGTTTGCCAGGTCCGAGACGGTCTTGACGTTGAGCTTGGAGAGGGTGGAGTCAGTCCAGTCAGCAAGGCCCTGCAGGCAGTGCACGGGCGCCTCGGAGATCTCCTTGAGGCTCTTTGTCTCGTAGTCCTTGTCCAGGGCCTTGTTGATGTTGCTCTCGCCAGAGGGGTCGCGCTTGCCCTCCTGCACTCGCATATTTGGGAGATTACCCAAGATGGAAGGGGAGGGGGGAGAGGGGTGTTCCAGTAAGTGACTTGTGGCGACAAAAGCCATTCCCAAGCAGTAGCTGCCACTTTTGCTGGTGGCAAAGGAAAGAAAAGGAAAGAAAAGGAAAGAAAAGGAAAGAAAAGCCATGTCTCTCTCACACAAACACACAGAAACACGCACACAGACACACAACGCACCTCCTCGACGGCGGCGAGGGTGCAGATGGCCTGGGCGATACGTGCATGCTTCCACTGGGCAAGATCAGCAATGGTCTTCACGTGGAACGCTGCGTATTTGTGAGTTTGTGTGTGTTTGTGCATGTGTTTGTTTGTTTGTTTGTTTGTGTATGCGTGTGTGAGTTGGTGAGCCAAAAGGTGACACGAATGCACAACAAATGCACACCAAATTAACACAACAAAGCAATCCACCCACCCACACACACACACCCACAACACGCATACCGGCGAGCATCTCGTTGGCGCGGTCGGCGAGGCCCTGCAGGGCAGAGGGTGGCAGCTGAACAACCTCGCGCAGAGGCTTGGTCTCAAACTCCTTGTCCAGGGCCTTGTTCACGTTGAAGGTGTAGGCGGGCTTGGCCTTCTTGGGTGCTGGCTCAGACATGGTGGCTTGTTTGGTGTGGAGGAGAGAAAGGGAGAAGAAGAAGCAAGGGATCCGACGACGAAGAAGGAGGCTGTGGCGGTCAACGGTGAGGGGCAGGGCAACTTGTTGGTGAGCTGAGGCGGGTGAAAAAGAAAATGAATGAATGAACGATGGAACGGATGGAATCAATGAACCATCAGACAAGCGCTGTTCTTGGCAAGCAAGCCAAAGCAAGTTCACACCCTCACACACACACACACACACACAGACACACAGACACGTCCGTGCGTTTCGTCAACGCGTTGACACACGTTCACCATCTCCCCCTTTCTGCCTTCGTGCACGATGCAAGCACTACATCATGCGCCCAGCCACTGTCACTCAGCACCACTCACCCACAAGAGCAAGCAAGCGAGAAATGAAACATGTCTGTCAAAAAACCGCGCGCTCTGCCTGCCTGCTTGCTTGCTTACTTGCTGGCTGGCTGGGTGGCTCCCAACCGGCCATTTTGGCGCCCTTACATCACATCTCCCACTCCACAAACCAACACAACAACACACACAAACCAGCAGGCAAAGCGCTATCTGTCTCTCACCTTGTTCAGTGGAAAACGCCGACAACGACGCAAGACGAAAGACGAAAGCAGAATTTGGCGCGCTGTGGAAATTCGCCACCCAGCTTAAACAACACAACAGCACAAATTCATGGCGTGTTTAAACAGGTTTGACGTGTTTTATGGTGGCAAACAATGCATGCATGCAGTGCAGATGAGTTGCCATGTTTTGGACGAATATTCGTTGAATCGCGAAGAAACAAAAAAAATGCACGAATGCGCCAAATTTCTTCGTTTGGTACGTTGCCGTGGTGGTGGTGGTGCTGGTGTGTTGCGTTGTGCAAACAAACACCCAAGCAAGAAGCAAGCACGCGAAGCAAAAAGCACAAAGCGAAGCAACCAGCCGCACCCGTTGGTTGCGTGGCCGCGCTCGTGTTCGATACTCTCTCTCTCTCTCGCTCGCTTCTGCCTTCTTTCTCTCTTCGGTTGCTCGTCAGCCCTCACACACAGACACACACATACACCTCGTCATCAGCCTTCGATCGATCAAGCTGTTCTTCTCACCCCCTGCTCTCTCTCCCTCTCTCCCGCGCCGTATTTCGTTCATTCTTAAGTGTGATCCTGATCAAGACGATCACCCCCCCGTCAACAACACACACGCACACACACACACGCACGCACGCACATACGCGCACGACGCAAACGAAAAGGTAAGCATCGGCATCACCATCAGAACAGCAACGCAACAAACACGAAACACCCAGCAGTCTCTCGTGCGTTTCCCACGACCACCACCACCACCACCATTCTGCCTCTTCGCGCTTCCTTGCACGTCTTCGTGCGGTTTGCCCTTGGTTGCCGATTGCCACAACCATTTTCCTTCTTGCACAAGAACCAACCAACCCTTTTCCCTGCCTTTCCCTCTTTGTCTGGACGCCAGAGCGCCCCCCTTTCTCACTTCGACAAGTTCTCTGCTCTCAGATCTCACACAAACCTTCATCCATCCATCCATTCATTTCATTGTTGCGAACTTGCTCCAGCAACCACAACAACACCGCCGACGGTTGTCACCAACCAAGTTCCCCCCGAGTGAGCGAGCAAGCAAGCAAGCAAGCAAAAGCAATCAACCAAGCAAAGCGAGCAGCAACCTCTCGTTGTTGCTTCTTGACTGTCACGAACACCCCTCTCCCTCCCTTCAACCGACGCACGCTTTTCTCTCGCTCTCATTTTCCCCACCAACCCAGACCAAACCAGACCAAACCAGCAACCATGTCAACGAGTCTGTCATCGATGGACCACCATCACCTGCAGGCGTGTCAAGAAGACATGTCGAATCTCGTGATGTCCGCCACATCATCGTCGTCTAGCCTCGTGGCTAGCGACGGTTCCACGTCCCCCTCATCCCAGGAGGAGGCCCCAGCAACAGCCACAGCAACGACACAGCAAGACGCGCCCGCGGATAGCGGTGTCGCAGCCACCACCACCACCACCACAGCAACAGCAGCCACGTCGTCCTCGGTCAAGGAGGCCGTCGTCGCCTCGTCCGCAACAGCAGCCGTCTCGGATGTTGAGGACAACGATGACGCCGACGACGATGGCGACGATGCAAAACAGAAGAAGCAGCAGCAGCAAGACAGCGATGAGCAGGAGCCACACTCGTGCAGCTGCTACAGAAGCGTAGACCGCGCTCCGGTAAGTTGTTGATGAGGGGGCTTTGGGGGAACGTTAGGGTTAGGGTTAGGGTGAGGGAGCGTGTGTGAGTCTGCTTGTGTGTGTCTGCTTGTGTGATTCGTCGTAGTTGCGTGTGATTCGGTGCGTTCACAACTGGCACCCTTTCCTCCCCCCTCCCACACACTCACACACACACACACGCACACTCACGCATGCACACAATATCCCCCCCCCCCCAAAACAAAACCACAACAATAGCCCAATGCCATCTTCAAGCTGCAGGACGAGTACACCCAGGATGAGCACGAGAACAAGAGCAACCTCGTCCTTGGAGGTTAGGCGCCAGTTCATCTCACACCATCACCACCATCACATCACATCACATCACATCACGCAGGGCGTTTTTACCTTCACCTGTGCTGCTAATGATGACCCCCTGCGTTTGAGCTTTATGTCTGGTTTGCTTGCTTGATCCCACAACCACCTCCCTCCCTCCCCCCCTTTCTCATGTTCTCCTTCCCCCTTCAATGTCGTGCTAAACGCGACATTCCCCCCACTCAACACACTCAACACACACATACACCACCCAAAAGGCACGCACACACACATGCGCACACCATGCACTCGCGCACACACACGCCACACCGCACACACAAGCTTGCGCCGTGTGTTTTGGTGCTTGTTTGAACCTCCCCGTGCACACGCATGCCCCCCTTGGCAGTCACTGCCTTTTGCTCCTGACACGCGTACTCCTCTGCTCGCCTGTGCCATCGCCCCTCTCTCCGTTTGATTCTTTTCCCTCGTCGTCCCCTTCTCCTTCTGCGAACACCATCACCACCACCACCACCACCAACGACGCCAACTACGACTGCTGCTTCAAACACAAACACAACAACAACAACAACAACAACTGCAACCACGACGAATTATTTCCACCTGCGCAGTCGCTGTGAACGACGACGGTTCGCTGGTGTACTTTGATGCTGTTCGCAGCATTGAGAAGGAGATTTACGAGGACACGCAGAGCGGCAAAATCTCCCACGGCTACCCGCCCATTGGCGGCCTTGCTGAGCTCTCCCAGTACGCGGCCGAGCTCGTCCTTGGCGAGAACCACACCTTCATCAGAGATCACAAGGTGCGATTTGCTGTGTTTTTTGTATGTGTTTGTTGAACTTTATGTTTTGCGTTGTTTGTGTTTCCTTTGTTGCGCTGCCTTGCGTTTGCGCGTCGGACTGCTCGTGCTTTGTGCGTCGTGTATTTGCGCATCCACCATATTTCACCACCCCCACCACCACACGTTTCCCACGACTCACCACTCACACAACCCACACAACTCAACCATCCACATAACCCATTTTTTAAGGTTGGCGGCGTGCAAGCGCTGTCTGGCACGGGTTCTCTGCGCCTTGTTGGTGAGTTTCTGCATCAATATCACCGCCAGAACAGCAGCGTGTACCTGTCGGACCCGACGTGGGCCAACCACAAGGCCATCTTCACCGAGGCGGGCTTTGGCGGCGCCATCAAGTCGTACCGCTACTACAACAGGGACACCCGCGGCCTCGACTTTGACGGCCTCATGGAGGACCTCGAGGTGCGTTCACGCCCGTGTTTGTGTTTGTGTTTGTGTGTGCATATGTTTTAGTGCTTACGGTTGTGTTTGTGTGCACTCATGTTTTCGTGCTTGCGGCGTTTGTGTTGCCCTTCTCCGATGCTCACACGTCCGCCAAACCTCGTACATGCCCCCCGGGGCATCCAAATCAAATACACACACACACACACACATACATACAGAACGCGAACGACGGTGACATTGTTGTGCTGCACGCGTGCGCGCACAACCCGACTGGCGTGGACCCGACGCTTGAGCAGTGGACGGCGATTGCTGCGCTCTGCCAGCGCAAGCAGCTCATGCCTGTCTTTGACTGCGCCTACCTCGGGTTTGCGTCCGGCGACATTGACAAGGACGCCGAGGGCATGCGCCACTTTGCCAACACGGGCGTCGAGTTTTTCGTGTGCGTGAGCTTCTCCAAGAACTTTGGCATCTACGGCCAGCGCTGCGGGTCTGCCCTGTTTGTGTCTGAGGACAACGAGGCGACGGCCAACGTGGTGTCGCAGCTCAAGCGGCTGTCGCGGCCCATGTGGTCCGTGCCGCCCCTCCACGGCGCCCGCATTGTCACGGGCGTCCTCGGCAACCCGGAGCGCAAGGCCCGCTGGCGCAAGGAGGTGGCAGACCTCGCCGAGCGCATCAAGGACATTCGCCAGCGGCTGCGCGCAGAGCTGGAGGAGTGCACCAAGGACGTGGCGCCCAAGGGCTACTGGGACCACATCACCAACCAGCGCGGCATGTTCACCTTCTCTGGCCTGCGCGAGCGCCAGTGCGAGTTTTTGAAGACGGAGCACAACATCTACATGCTTCCCAGTGGTCGCATCAACATCTGCGGTGTGTCGTCCTCCAAACTCAGCCGCATTGCGTCAGCCATTGCAGACGCATACTGCAAGGAGAACTAAGGGATCAAAACGAACCCCAAGACAACAACTCCCCACACAAGGCACTCGCTGGTGGGGCAACAGGAGCAGTAGGTGCACGCTTGTACACGTGCGCTCGCTCGTGCTTGTGCGGCTGGCTCTACTGTCGCCACCTCCACGACTGTGCTCTTTTTCTTGATGTTGTTGGGGTTTTAGTGTTGTTGTTCTCTTGCAGTCTTCTCTCCCCCACCTCTCCTCTGGGAAGGACGCACCACTGCTGATATCCCACGTGGCGTAGCTGTTGTCGTTTCGGCGCTGCTGCTGCTGCTGCGCGTCGTTAATGATAATGGCTAGGCCACACCTTTTTTTGATGCTCGATCCTTTCTCTGTTGCTCTTTTTTTTTTCCGTCTTCATCTCTCTTTCGCTCGCGCTCGCTCTTGCCTGTATGCTGTCGATTACCGCTTTGCCCTTGGTGGCTTTGCTCTATGTTGCTAGCCCCCTCCCCTCTACCCCTTTTAATCTCTCGCTTTTATCCCTCGTCTATTACTTCTTTTGTCTCCGGGTTGGTTGTCATCCTGTGTTTCCTGCTTCGTGTATGGCTATGTGTGTTTGTATTTCCTAACAAAAACGCCCCCCTGACACCTCCCTAGTTGACCCCCCCTTGCATCCTTGCCTTACCCTCACGACGACGTGCGTGGTGGAAGTTGGGTTGTGGTGTGCTGTTGGAAGATTGTGTGGGTGAGTGTGTGCGTGTTGCTTGATTGCGCACTCGCATGTGTGATGGGTGTTTACGTGCTTGCTCAGACAACCTCACTCTCTTTTTTTGTCCTGAATGGTTGCCTGGGCCATGCTCGTGTGCACCTCCCCCCACCTTCCCTTGCTTGCATGCACCGAGCACACTTCCTTCTTCCTCCACGTCACCTGTCTGTTCATGCCTTGCGCATGCGTGCCTTGTTTGCATTGTTTGCCGTTTTGCATGTGTTTGCCCACTACCACGGTGTTGGGGCGGCGCAGAACAAGTACACAATGCAAAAGAACAACAATGATACAGTCTAGTGTTGTGTGTGTGTGTGTGTGTGTGTGTGTGTGTGTGTGTGTGTGTGTGTCTTGGGGGATGCGTTTGCGGAGTTGCGTGATGTGATTGAGCAGTTTACTGTGGTGTGGAGAGAGACAAGACGACAGACAGGAAGCAACGAGAAGAGAGCCTTTGAGGTGCGGGTCACTTTGGCATCTTGTTGAGCTTGAGGCGCCGGAGCTCATGCATGAACCAGACTGCAAACGTCAGCAGCGTCAGCGACCCAGCTGGTGGAGGGGGTGAGAGGAGGTGAGTGTGTTGAGTGTGGTGAGAGGGAGGTGAGTTTGATGAATGTGGTGAGGGAAGTTTGGTGAGCGTGCATGAGGTGAGGCACGAGCAGAACGCAGATTGGCACCTTGGTGTGTGGCTGCGAGGGGCGTGGGAACAAAGTACAAGAGCGTTGCGATGCCAAGGGAAACCTAAACACAGCGCAACCGAGGAGGGAGTTGGCGGTGTGGGTGCGCGCATGTGAGTTGAGCATGTGCGATGATCGCGCTGTCCTTGCATTGCATTGCGCTGCACATCGCTTTTTGCATTGCATTGCGTTGCACATTGCTTTTTGCATTGCACACTGCAGTCGCAGTCGTCCGTGGTATCGGCCCGACCTGAACGGAGACCATGCCAAGCATGGCGTTGATGGCGAGACGCGCGCGCCCGTGCAGCGGCAGCTTTCGCGCCTTTGCCCACAGCGCCAGCACAGACAGGCCCGTCGTCACTCCCTGCGAGGGGTGGAGTTCGTTGGTTGATTGGGTGGGGGGGGGTTGTTTGGTGTGTGTGTGTGTGTGTGTGACGGGAGGTGAACAAGCAAGCATGAAACGAAAACACACACACACACACACACACACACACACACACACACACACACACACACACACACACACACACACACACACACACACACACACACACACACACACACAAATAGCGCTGTGCACTCACGAGGATGCGGTGGTCAAACTGGACGGTTGTCGGGTTGTCGAAGAAGTTGGTCCAGGTCGGTGACAGCGCCAGCAAATCGCTCGGCACCCTGACAATGCATGGATGGTTGGTTGGTTGGAGGAGGTGTTGACGGTGAACCATTGTTGAAGTGGAGGCAAGCAGTATCGTTGGGAGCGGAGGTGCATGCACGAGTTCATTCACAGCATCGCACACGGACGACGCAACCTCCCGCACGTGCACGTGCGATAGATACGAGATGAGAAGCGTGTGCACGCACCATCGCCCGCCCATGAGTGGGAACTCGTTGTAGAGGAGGCCAGCGTCCAGGCCGGCAACAAACGCGCCGGAGAGCGCCGTGATGAAGACGAGCCCGCCAACCATGTGCGCATACCGCTTCAGCTTGAACAGCGCGCGGGGCGTCTCCTGGTGGTGGTAAGAGGGGAGGGGAGGGATATGAGGACGGTGGGAAGATGGAGTGGCAGACAAACAGAAAACAAGGGCACGTGTGCATGCTTGGACACGGGCACACATGAGGCCACACACACACACACACACACACACACACACACACACACACACACACACACACACACACACACACACACACACACACACACAAAACCTGACCTTGAAGGTGCGTTCCGGGAGGATGTGCGAGAGACCCGTCCACAGGGTGACGATGTAGAGAAGGAAGGCAGACCCAAGGTGTGCAGCGAGGCGATAGTGGCTGAAGATGTGGAGACATGGTACGCGTGTGCAACAGATGACACATGCAAATGCAGATGCAGGTGAGGCAGGCTGGATACGTGGCCGTTTGACATTGAAATGCAAGGTGGATGTGATGTAGCTGGCAGGCACACGCGGGGTTGATGTGCGAGAGGGAGGAGGGGGCAAAGACCACGGGAAATACCTGACGCGGGGAACGTGCTTTCCTTCAGGGTCGTACTGCACATGCAGTGCAGGAGAGGAGCGCGTCAACGGCAGCGAAGCATAGACAAGCATGTGCACATGTACACTGAGTACGGCCTCAATCGTGCAAGCACACACACACATACACACACACACACAGACACACTCAGAAACACACACACACACACACACGCACACGCATACAAAAACACGCATCTTCAATTGTTGACTCACGTCAAGGCCGCTCTTGACCATGATCCAGCCCAGCACGCCCTGGAATCCAAGCAATCCACCCATGGCCAGCACAACCTGAAGCGGTCGACACGAGCATGAGGGGAAAAGGACACGCCAAGCTCAAGCAAGGCACGTATGTGTGTGTGCACGTGTTTGCAAGCGTTCAGATGCGACAAAGGGGCAAACACGGACGGCGGCTCATCAACCAAGCAGCTCAACACAGCATGGCAACAGCACGTACCGGTTTGTACTGTTGGCGAATACGGCCGCGAAGCCAGAAGGCGATGGCGGGAACAGCAAAAGCGACGCCAATGAGGCGCCCCCACATGCGGTGGGCATACTCCATGTAGAAGATGCGCTTAAAGTCCTCCAGCGACATGCCGTTGGAACTGAGAGGAGACAAGCACGCGAGAGGATGGGGGAGGAGAGGAGGGACATGGTGGGGTGTTGGGCAAGTGTGTATGCGAGTACAGCATGAGTGTTTGAGTAGAAACCCCGCGTCTACGAATAGAGACACGGTGTTGAGTCGTCAGCTTCCCCTGCGGCTGCCACTTCATTCTGCACCCCTGCACATCCCCGGCTTGTCACGCACAATGAGCAGCAGCGCGAGCAGAGCGCGAGCCCAATCTCCCTCCAGCTCTCTGCCTGTGCCGCCCTCACACTACGGCAGTGTGGACGTACTATTTGTATTCTGGGTATTGCTTGTAGCACTCAAACTCCTCGATCCACTCCTCCTCGGAGACGGGCGGGCGCATGCCCTTGATTGGGTGCCACTTGACCATGGACAAGCCCGACTCCGTCAGCCGGGTCACGCCGCCTGCACACGCAAGAATACGAACGGCGGCATGGTCATAACAAGGGTGTTGGAGGTAAGAAAGTGGCAGTGATCACACGCACACGTACACACGTACACACGTACATACATACATACATACATATACATACATACATACACACACGCGCGCGCACGCACACGCACAACACACACTGACACACACACACACACATTCACATACCACTGACACACACACACACACGCACGCTGACACACGCACACACACACACAACTTACCGAGGACGACAGCGCCAAAGATGAGGCCAGTGGTGCCCAGGAGCCAGACACCAATCGTGCGTTGGGAAGCATCCATGGCCGCGCCAGTGGTGGAGCTAAACTCTGCGGCGCGGACGGCGGTGTTGGCCAGCACACCAGACTGCACGCGCGTGCCCACGCTGGATCGTGTGTTGCTGTGCAGGTGCCGGCGCAGCGTGGCCACAACATGGCGCCGGCAAGCTGTGCTCTGGCAACGCGCAGAGATCGACACAGCGACGCCTCGCCTCAGGCCAGCTTGCATGGCTGGTGCAGCCCGGGCTGCGAGCCAGCTCACAACCTGTAACAAGGCGAAACAGCACAGTGAACGTGGCATGACAGCATGCGGTCAGTGCATGCGGCCAAGAACAAGTCGTCACATGTGCCACCACTACCGGCAGCATCGCGCACACAAGCAAGCGAATAGGTGGAAGCTGACGGCTGCTTGTTGGTGTTTCATCGCCTTTCATCTCCACAGCACAGCACAGCACAGCACCCACGTTGCGAGCAGCGAGCATCGTTGGTTTGGCGGACGCAAGATTGCACGGATGGATATGAGCTCCTTTTTGTGGTGTCGTGTATGTATGTGTGTGTGTGTGTGTGTGTGTGTGTGTGTGTGTGTGTGTGTGTGTGTGTGTGTGTGTGTGTGTGTGTGTGTGTGTGTGTGTGTGTGTGTGTGTGTGTGTGTGTGTGTGTGTGTGTGTGTGTGTGTGTGTGTGTGTAGGTGTGTGTGTGCGATGTCACATGTCACGTAAGAGACATGTCATTGCGGCACGGTTCATTTACTGGAGAACAACGAAACAAGAGCAACACCACTGCGTGAATCAGCAGAGTGACACGAAGGCGTCCTCCTCACGTCTCAGTACTCATCATCAACACCACCACCATCGCCGTGGCCATCGTCACGCCGTGTCCGTGAAGAGGGAGGCCGCAACACTTCCAATCACCAGGAACACGCACGTGCTTTGAACTGCTCGTAGCGCCACCGCCGCGTTGTTCTACAGGCAGCAGGCGTGATACCACGGAATTGCATGACGGTGACAGGGTGTGAGCGTGTGCAAACCAACAAGACACAGCGTCCAGCATCTCAACACACATACGCGCGCGCACACACACACACACAGACATAGACACACGCATCCAAACACACACACACACACACACACACACACACACACACACGCACCTGGAGCATGCCCTGGAGAAAGAGGATGCCAGCGAATGTGTAGTATCCGTATGCTGCTCCTGTCCCAATCACTGCCGGGAGCCCAACGAACCTAACAACACAAGCACAGCGTGAGGCCAGTGAGCTTGCCATCCACACGACCACACGACCACGTGTCCACGCGGCTACCTTGCAACACAACAGCGCAAGGGGAACCTTTGCGAGCGTAGAGGCAAACACCTGCATTGAGCTGATCTCTGGCCTTGCTTCCTGCACCCCCCCCCCCCACTGCGTTCTTACTCGCTCAAGATGCAGACGAGTGCCATGACGAATGCAATGTAGGGGAGCGTGTTGTGCAGCAGCCGCTGCCAGTTTGGCTGGAGCGAACGTCCACTTTTCTTCTTGCTACCGCTGGCACCTGTGGCGCTACTCTGCGGTTGTTGCTGCTGCTGCGGTTGCTGCTGCTGTGTTCGTGAAGCATCACTGATCGGGGTCGTGGCGTCTGCTTGAGGCGTTCGCTTCGCACGCTGGCGCAGCCCACCGGCTGCGGCTGTCGTGCTCTGTTGTCCCTCCTCTGTTGGTCTTCTGTCGCTGCTGTCCAGCACCACACCGCTTTCTTTCTCATCTTTCTCACCTTTGACCTGTTGCGGGTGTTGTTGTTGTTGTTGTTGTTGTTGTTGTTGTTGTTGCTGCTGCTGCTGCTGCTGCTGCTGCTGCGGGTGTGTTGTTGCTTCTTCCTGTTCTTGTCCATTGTCGCTGCCTTCTGTTGCAGCTGCCGCTTCTGCTTCTATTGGTACTGCTGTTGTCGGTGCTGTTGTGGGTGCTTCCTCGGCCGTGTCCAAGGAGTGTGCCACCCCCGTGAGCAAGTCCAAGCGCTTGCCCTCGTTGCCGAGGATGCGGGCCTTGCGCCGCTCCCGCGCCAGCCGCCGCTTCTCCGCCGCAGAAGAGCTCATAGTCAACAGTCTCAAACACCATAAATTGACGGGGAACTAACAACACCACAACAAGCGGCGATGACGAACGGCGGCAGCACTGGCTCAGGTGGTGGTGGCGGAGTTGGCGATGGACGTGGAGATGGCGACCACCAGCAGCACCAGCAGCAGCAGCAGCAGCAGCAACGGCAACAGCGCACAGCATCATCACCTCCAGTCGTTACAGATGTCCAAGGTGTGTGTGTGTGTGTGTGTGATACATGTGTGCGTGTGTGTGCTGTGCGCTCTGTGATGTGACATGAACAAGACGAAAGACTCAATCTCGGCACTCGCCCATGTTTGTTTGGTCATGGTCGCAGACGAGCTGCAGCCGTTCTTCCAGGAGGACTTTGACGTGGCCTCCTTCTCCACCAGCGTCATTCGCGGAAAGATGATCCAGCAGCAGCTGGACAAGGTTGGCTGGAAATGTCTTGCGCGAGGGAAGCTTGGTGCTTGCGATGCTCGCAGAGAGTGTGCAATGCTCGCATGAAAACTGGGCGGCCAGCGGGAGCACTAGCTCACGACCCCGCATGCGATGCATGTGTTTCTGTGTCTGTGCGTGTTGCCTGTGTGTTGCCTGTGTGCTGCCTGTGTGCTGTCGCAGTTGAACGCTGGTATCGAACGGATACAGAAGGAGCTTTATGCGCAGGTACGGCCTTCTCTTGCATGCTGCGCTTGGGGCGCGCCTTTGCCGTTTGGCATTGAGAAGAGTCGGGGTGGAGTAAGGGTAGGAGGGATCGAACCTGTTCCTGACTGTTGTTCGCCGAATCACATTGCTTTCAGGTTGCATCGAGACACGCAGACTTGATTACCCAAGCGACTGGCATTCAGAGGCTTGAAGGTGTGCACGCGTTGCATTGCATGACTGCTGCTACTTATGGGTGCACTCTGTGCGCGTCGCTGTGCTGTGTTTGTGAGTGTGAGTGAGTGAGCTAGTGTGTGTGTGAGAGAGAGAGAGATGTGTGTGTGAATGAGAGAGAGTGTGTGAATGAGAGAGAGAGTGTGTGTGTGAGTCTGTGTCCTTTTCCCTCAGCTTCTTGGTCAAACACTCACCCACTCCCCCCCCCCCCACACACACATGCGTGTAGATGTGCTTGCGATGATCACTGCACGTGTGGAGGGGTTGCAGAAGAGTATTCTCCGAATCAAGGACAAGCTGCATGCGCCATATCAGCACATTGCACAGAAGACGCGCAAGCTGGAGCGCATGCAAGTGAGTTGCGCGCATCCACTTGTCCTATTTGCTGATATTTTGTACACACACACACACACACACACACACACACACACACATGTGCCATGCCTTTACACCGCTTCACTCGCTTCCTGCATCCCCCTCCCCCAACCGTCATTACCACCATTGCACATGCGATTCACCCCACCCGCTCTTTGGCATTTTATTTTTGCTTGCAGGCGGCGTGCGAGCTGCTCCGCCGGACTGTCCGCTTCCTCACGCTCGTCTCAAAGCTTAAGCAGCAGCGCAGCGGCGGCGACAAGGACATGAGCAGGGTGTGTGTGTTTGTGTCTATGTGTGGTCGTGTGTGTGTGTTGTATTTGTGTGGCCGTGTGTTCATGTGTAAGAGTGTGTATGGTTGTGTGTTCATGTGTGTGCATGGTTGTGTGTTCATGTGTGTGCATGGTTGTGTGTTCATGTGTGTGCGTGAGGCCCAGCGTTCAATACAGTACAAACACTCATGCTCATCTCTACGTGCGCAACCCTCCTCCCTGCCCAGGCTGCGTACACGCTGAGCGAAATCCAGCACCTTGTTGCAGACAAAGCGCTGCATGGCATCCACGTGATTGAGCGCGACCGCGCATGGGTGTACGAGGTGCGACCACGTGTGTATGTGTATTGGTGTGTGAAAAGGCGTGTGTTGGTATGTGGATGTGTTGGTGCGTGGGTGTGTGGGTGTGTGGATGTGTGGATGTGTGAAGATACGGTGGGCGAGGGGTGCATCCATATGCTCGTAGATGTGAATGTGCAAGCTAACAGTCCGTTGTAATTCACGTCACTGTCGTTTCGCTCACGTGCAGACACGCGAAGACATTGAGAAACAGGCCCGCGAGAAGCTCAGCCGTGGTGCGTGCAGTCATTGTGTGTGTGCTCTTGCTGATGCGTTTGCATGCGTATGTGCATGCGTGTATGTGCATGCGGTATGCGTGCGCACACGGGAGCACGATTGCTGTGCACCTTGTTTGGCTGTGCGCAGTGTGTCACACCCCCGTTACCACCACCACGCAACAGGGCTGGACCACCTGAAGCACCAGACGCTGACAACATCGCTGCAGGTCTTCCACAACCTCGGATCCCTCAAGGACGAGGTCCGTGTGCAGAGCACGTGTGCGCGTGCGTGCGTGTGTGCGTGTGCGTGTGTGCGTACTTGTGCGCACTTTAGCTCTCGCTGCTGCTGCTGCTGCTGCTGCTTCTGATACAACCAGGCTTCCTCCAACCAACACGCACGCACACAACACACATGTCGCTGAACCTCCCGACCCCACCCTGGTTACCACTGCAGGTTGACTCTGTGCTGCAGTCGCGGATGCTGGTGCTGGTGCGGTCGCTCGATTCGCTCCTCTTCCTCCCATCAGACCTCAGCGGGAAACACAGCATGGACAGCGGTCAGTTGCACGTGTGCGCGTGCGTGTGCTTGTGTGCGTGTATGCGTGTGTGTATTCGTGTGCGTGTGTGTATTCGTGTGCGTGTATGCGTGCGCGTGTATGCGTGTGCGTGTGTGCGTGTGCGTGTGTGCGTGTATGCGTGTGTGTACTGCCCCTCCATGCATGCATTCATGCATGCACCCATCCACCACCCACGCATCCATGCATCCTCACCTCCAACCAACCGTGTGCAACGTGCACAGGCATCCGCGCGCATGTGTGGGACCACCTTGACCGGTTCCTGAAGCAGTTTCGAAAGCTTGCGTTTGAGAGCCGCACCCTCCATCTCGTCATGATGAAACGGCGATCGCAGTCGTCCTACCACACATTCGCACAGCTGGTGGAGGTGCGTGGTCGTCGCGCGGTGTCTTGTCGATCGTACTGGCGTGTATGCTGTGTGCTTGAGTCGCTTGAGTCGCGGTATGTGATCTACCGTTGTTTGTCATCATGCTCTGTTTTTCGATTCAACCAATCCCAGCCCCAACTACTGTCCTCCCCTTCTCACTTACACACCCACACACCCACACATATATACACACACACACACACACACACACGCACGCACGCACGCACACACACACACACACACACACACATACACGCACGCACATCCACTTTCCTGCCCACGCAATCCTGCAATCACCACATCTCCGCGCTTGCAGCCCTCCCCAGGTGGGGTTGCGCATCGCGTGTGGTCGGAAATGCTGACGACTGCAAAGGCCGCATTCGACAAGACAGACGGTACGCACACACACATGCATGCACTCATGTAGCTGTTGTGGTGGTTGGAGTAAAGGTATCGTCTTGCTCGCTTGTGCGTGGGTCTACATGCCATGCACTCAAGCGCTCCTATGTGTGTGTATGTGTGTGTGTGTGTGCGCGCGTGTTCAGGGTCGAACGCTGCGCGACGGGTGCTTGAGGCCGGATATCCAAAGATGCTGCAGCTCTTCCTTGACAAGTGGAGGTATTGGCTGTGTTCAATCCACCAGGCATTGGAGATGGTCGTTGCGCTGTCATGGCCGCACTCGAGTCACCACGCGCTTACATGCACGAACTCTCTTTCACGCACACACACACACACACTCTCTCTCTCTTTCTCTTTCTTTCACACACACACACACACTATAGGCAAATTCTGGACCACTTCAGTGCGGATTACAGTTCCGATTTGCTGCGCGCAGAGCAGTCGCAACTGCGGGACACGTGAGCATTTCACATCGTGTTGCACTGCTGCACACGTGCTGCTGCACACTTGTTGCTGGTGCTGCTGGGAATGCAAACGTTCTTGATGTGGCCACGCATGAAGACCGTGGAGGCTAACATGCACCGGCTCTCACACACACACACACACACACACACACACACACACACACACACACACACACACACACACACACACACACACACACACACACACACACACACACACACACACACACACACACACGCAAACCACCCTACACCACAGGTTGCAAGTGTTTGAGCGGGCGTATGTGTCTGCTTCGCTGTCGCGGATGTTTGATCCGGTGAATCGCGTGTTTCCGGACAAAGTCACATTTGGTGGCGCCCTGGACCATGCGAGTGAGGCGAGGCACCTCCTTCAGGAAGGCGGCAGCCTCATCCGCAGGCATGTCCGCGATGGTGGTGTAGTTGCCCTTGGGAATGAGCAGACTGTGGCCAGGAGCCATGGGGAACGCGTCCAGAATGGCGATGCATGCCTCTGTCTCGAAGATCTGCCCGCAAAAACAAGCAGTTACAACCATTCGTCATTACTCACAACCAAGGCATGTGTGTGTGTGTGTGTGTGTGTGTGTGTGTGTGTGTGTGTGTGTGTGTGTGTGTGTGTGTGTGTGTGTGTGTAAATGTTTGTTTGTGTGATTCATGTGTTTGCGTTCCACCACGCCTCTCTCATCCCAGCAAGTTTCTTGCCTTCTCGTTCCTTCCCCCCCCCAAATCCACGTGTTGTGTGCACAAATCGTGTGTGCTTTCTTCACCTTGTGGGACGGGATCTGGCCGTCCAGGATCTTGCGGAAGACGTTGTCGGGGTTGTACTGGCTCATGATGCGGATGGTGCTCAACAAGCGACGGGCCATTCGTTGGTTGCTTGGATTGTGTGTGTTGTCTTGGTTGGTGTCAGTGGAAGTCGACTGAATTCAGTGGCACACGCACAACACGACTGAATTCAGTGGCACATTACACGAGAAGCACAACCAGCCACCGCACAACACGCACAAGACCAACACACGCACGATGCCTTCGTATGAGCTGTGCATGATCATGCGGGCGCTTCGCTCGGTGAGTGCGTGAGTGAGCGTGTTTTTGTGTGTTTTGCGAGTGAGTATGGCTTGTTGTACATGTTCTGGTGTGACGACCATGGTCTGAACACCGTGTTCTGACCACCAGTTGTGTGTTTTCGGGGTTGCAGGAGGCGCTGGCAAAGGAGCTGGTCCCCATACTGCAGAGAGTGCAGTCGTTGGGTGGCGTTGTGCAGGACGTCAAGAGCGTCGGGTCACAGCCTCTTCCACACAAGATGAAAGCACACTTTGAGCACCACGACAAGGGAACGTACGTCATGCTTTGTGTGTGCAGGCGCTCAAGTGCACCGGGTGAATGCTTGTGCCAACGGAGGTTTCTACGGATACCTTTTGTGTGTGAGAAAGTGCGTGTGCGTGAGTGTGAGTGTGTGAATGTGTGAGTGTGAGTTTGAGTGTGTGAGTTTGAGTGTGTGAGTGTGTGAGTGTGTGTTTGCATCCAAAAGTCATTGGCTCGGCCAAGCGTCCAAGTCCACTCATGTTCGTGCACACATGCATATGCACTATGGCCGCAATGCAGGTACTCGTTCTTGAGGTTTGAATCGAGCCCAACGGCGTTGCCGCAGCTGGACACGGCGCTCAAGCGCAACTCATCCATCATTCGACACAACTTTGTCAAGCTTCCCGCGCTCGACGCGAAGGTAAGCGAAAAGCGGATGGTTTGTGGCTGCTGCTCAGTCCTTTCGTGTTGTGTGCACGCACTTGTTCCTCATTCACTATGCTTCACACAAAAGCGCGCGCACACACACACATACACCTTTCCTTTCAACGAATTTGCACAGCGTTTTCTCTCATACCAACATGCACGTTTGCTCACACCCTCGCACTTGCAGCCAATGACCTGCCGCTTCAAGCCAAAGAGGTGACATGGGTGCTGAACAAACAACAGCTACCATTTGTCTCTGACAGCAACCGCAATAGCACTACAACCACCTTGTGTGCACTCTGCGTTCTCATCTGCGTTGCAAAGTCACTGCTGTTTTTCGTCTTCAGGTCCCCCCCCCCCTCCTTAGTGTTGTTTCTCCTCCTCTCCACTCTCTTGGTGTCTGTACTTTCCGACCAATTGAACCAAGCATCCTCCACTTCACAGCAGCATTCAATCGCCACCGAACTTTATCCCCCCCCCCCATTTGTAACGACGACCAGTCAGCGCGCACGCCCGGGTGGCCTTTCTTTCTCAACTTCTTTGTCTTCACCTTCGTCTTTGACCACAGCTCTGACCCGGTTGCATCGTCCACGTCGAGTCGTTCCTTCACTTCTACTCGATCCATGCGCCCGCCACGCTGTGCATTGTGTTTGATGCGTGTGTGTGTGTGTGTGTGTGTGTGTGTGTGTGTGTGTGTGTGTGAATGTGTGTGAATGTGTGTGTGTGCGTGTGTGTGAACGAGTGTGCGTGTTTGAGTGTGTTTGAGTGTGTTTGAGTGTGAATGGGGGTGTGAATGGGAGAGACTCGGTACCACACACACACACACACACACACACACACACACACACACACACACACACACAGACATACAGACACACACATGTTCAGCATCAACGCACAAACTTGATGCCCGCGTGCTCGCTGGTGAGAACGTATGTGTCCGTGCGCCTCTCTGCTCCTCGGGCCACATCAGCCAGCATCTGCGCCAGCGCAGTCACGCCTGTTGTTGTCTCACTCGCCACAGTCGTCGCCACAGTGGCAGTGGAAGGAGTGGAAGGAGTGACGACCTCGTCCAAGGACTTGACACTGGCTACCCTTCCATCATCCCTCTCCTTCCTCCTTGCCCTCCTCCTTGCCCTCCTCCTCCTCCTCACAAACACCCGCAGCTCCCACACCATCCCTCGCTCGCTCGCTCGCGTGTTCTGCTTGCTTGTTCGTTCGTTCGTTGGACACAGCTGCTCTTTTTGAGTTTGGTGCCACTGCACACATTCACACGATCCACCCACAATCAATCAATCACGCCATGTGACGCCATCCACCGCACACACACCTCCTCCAGCACATCGTGCGGGTTGTCACTGGACGAGACGTGTTGGCCGTGGCTGCCAACCAACCAACCAACCAACCAACCAACCCAACAAGCCATTCTCTGCACCACTCTCATCTCAACAAGCAAGAAGGCAAGAGAGAGCGAGACTTCAACACCACATGTCCTGGTCCGTTGTTGCGTCCGGGCCCCCCGCTGTTGTCCCTGTTGGTGACATTTCGATTCGACACCCTGCTCACACTGCCATCATTCTCCTTTGCCTTTGCCTCGCTTGCTTGCTTGGATCGATCGTGTTCTGTTGTTTGTTCAAGTCGTGTGGGTCGTGGTTGCTGTCATCGACGTCGTCGCTTACCCCTCTCCCTCCATCTCTCCTTCTCCCTTCCCTCTTCCTCCCCTCCCTCTTCCTCTCCCTCTCCCCGATCCTTCTTCCTCTCCCTCTCCCTTCAACAACAGCCATGATGCAGTGCAGTCAGGCGGCCACACGCCGTGCGGCGGCGACGATGCTGCTCAATGCACGCCGTGCAAAGCACTACAAGGTGCTGACTGTCGGCGGCGGCGCTGGTGGCCTCGCCGTCAGCTCAACCCTCTCCAACAAGCTCGGCAAGGGCGCTGTACGTGGCTGATGGCTGTTGCTTGGTTGTCGTGGTCGTGGTCTGGCTGGTTTGTGGTGACAGGTGGCTGATGGCTGTTGCTTGGTTGTCGTGGTCGTGGTCTGGCTGGTTTGTCTGGTCTGTTGCTGTTGGTCTTCTCGGTCTGTGATGAACTGCGTGTCGTGAGCTGCTAGGCTGCTTGCTCCTCGCAGTACTGTAATAGCAAGCCTCATTGCTGGTCTCCTGTTGACTGCAACCCCATCACCCAACCTCACAACATCCGTCCCACACTTCAACACACACACCAACGCGCAACCGCAACAATGCCAACAACACCAGGTTGGCATTATTGAGCCCTCGTCCGTGCACTACTACCAGCCATCATGGACCATGGTTGGCGGTGGCGTGCACCAGTTCAAGGATTCCATGCGCGATCAAGCATCCGTCATGCCCCGCAACGCAGACTGGATCCAGGACTACGCCGTGGCCTTCAAGCCCGAGGAGAACAAAGTCGTCACCCAGAATGGCGACGAGGTGCGTGCGTGCGTGTGTGTGTATGTGTGCATGTGTGTGTGTGTGTGTGTGTGTGTACTTATGTGTGTGTGTGCGTGGGGGTGGGAGAGAGCATCTGTCTTTCTCTTGCTGCTATCGCTGTAGCTGCTGTCGCACATCTAGCATCACGTGCTCGTGTTCCGCCTCACGTGCTCGTGTTCCGCCTCACATCACACATTCATCTCACTGCACTCCCTTGCATGCATGCCCCTGCCAACCACCGTCTCCCCCAACACACACACAGTTTACGTACGACTTTCTTGTGGTCGCAGCTGGGTTCCAGCTCGATTGGGACAAGATCAAGGGCCTGAAGGACGCCCTGGGTAAGGATGGCGTCACCTCCAACTACTCTCCCAAGAGCTGCGAAAAGTCCTGGGAGTTTATGCAGGCATTCAAGGTGTGACGCACGTCATCATCTTTGCTTGCATCGCAGTGGCTGCTGCTGGCTGTAGGGCTGAGGTCTTGCGTGAGGCTTTGTGCGCACTCAGCATGGATCCTGCTTTCTCATCTCGTTGGTTTGCGTTTGCATCATTTCCATGACCGCAAACGAATGAATCTTCGCACACACACATGATGCACGCAGGGAGGCAACGCCATCTTCACGCAGCCGGACTGCCCGATCAAGTGCGCCGGCGCTCCGCAGAAGATCATGTATCTCTTTGAGGACTACATCACCCGCCAGGGCCTGCGCGACAAGACAAACGTCACCTTCATGCAGGGCCTCCCAGCCATCTTCGGCATCAAAAAGTCAGTGGCATGTGTATGTTGTGTATGTTGTGTGTGTGTGTGTTGTGTGTGTGCTGTGTGTGCTATGCGGTGGGACAAGGCATTCTCTGTTGCACTCGCACTTGCTGTTGATGGCGGCAGCAACCAGAGGTCTCACCACTGCTCACACATGCTCACACGTGCGCGAAAATGCACCACACCTCAGGTATGCTGACGTGCTGACGAACATCTGCAAGGACCGCGACATTGACGTGCAAGTGAACAGCGTGCTGAAGGAGATCAAGCCAGAGACAAAGGAGGCCGTGTTCCAGCAAGGCGACAAGACCACGACTGTCAACTACGACTACATCCACGTCACCCCATACATGAGCGCCCCAGACTTTATCAAGAAAGTGAGAGAGAGAGAGAGAGTGTGTGTGTGTGTGTGAGCGCGTGAATGAGTGAGTGTGTGAATGAGTGAGTGCGTGAGTGAGTGAGTGAGTCCGCAGCGATGCTCATGATGCAATCTCGAAGCTTCAGTGTATCCCTCCACAGAAGCAGCCAGGCAGTCACGTAGACAAGCAGTTATGCCGCTCGCTCATCTCCATGCTGTCCTCCCCGCCCCCACATGCGCCCCGTGTATCCTTTGACAGAGTTCACTGGCCAACGCGGCAGGGTTCGTGGACGTGGACCAGTACACCATGCAGCATGTCAAGTACCCGAACATCTTCTCGCTTGGCGACTGCTCATCCGTTCCCACATCAAAGACTGCCGCTGCCGTCGCATCAGAGGTGCAACCGTGTTGGGACAGGCGCTAACATGTTGTGCATCTTGCGCTTGCTCTCATTCGAAGCATGTTTCTGACACACACACACACACACACAACCACACTCACGCCTGTGCTTGTACCATCACATCAGAGTGGAGTGGTGAAGCAGAATCTGCTTGCAGCGCTGGAGGGCAAGCCACTGCCGGCCAAGTACGACGGCTACGCCAGCTGCCCGCTCGTCACAGGGCGCGGAAAGCTCGTGCTCGCAGAGTTCTCAGGCTTCACCGGACAGGTGTGTGCATGTGTGTGCATGTGTGCATGTACATGTCTGCGTCTGTATGTGCATGTGTATGTACATATCTGTGTATGTGCATGTGCATGTGCATGTGTGTCTCTTTCTTTTTTCATCGTTACTCGTTCCAGCATCGTTTGCTGCTTGCCTCTGCTGTATTACCTCTGCTGCATTACCTTTGCTGTATTACCTCGAAGCTGCACCATCACCCCGCACACTATACCCTCGCATGCCTTCATGGTCTCACCGCTCCCCTCCATCTCCTCCACACCATACGCTGCAGCCGCTGGAGACGTTTTTCTTTGACCAGGGGAAGGAGCGCTGGTCAATGTACTCGATGAAGAAGGACCTGATCCCGCGCATGTACTGGGACCAGCTTATCACGGGCCTGTGGAACGGCCCGACAAACGTGCGCTTCCTCACAAACCCGCTCGGTTGGCAACAGTTCAGCGCCTGAGCCCGCAGTATGCGGATGATGGATGATGGATGATGGATGATGGGTGCTGGGCGATGGATGGTGGATGTGGCATGACCCTTGTTCATTGTGTGTTTTCCTGTGATCATATTGTCAAGCAAAACAAGTGAAGCAAGCAAGTATGCAAATGGGGCAAACCGCACAAGGCGTGCCTGCAGGCAAGGCGAAGCAGAAGTGCTTCAAGGATATGAAGAGGAGGAGAGAAGTCACAGGCAAGAGGTGGGCGATGAAATGTAACAATGAAGGCAGGTGTGGTTGGTGATGTGAATCGCATCCATCCATCCAGTACAGAGCAGCACGCATCCACCCAGCGCATGCACAACCCCACCAACAAAAAGAGAGGGGCAAGGGCCAGATGGTCAAGAGAGAAGAATCCATGACTACTGATGATGTTGTCACGACTGCTGTCACGACTGCTGCTGTTGCTGATGGTGGTGGTGTGCGACGGCTCGCAGGGTGGAGGCCATGTGCGCTGCTGCTGTGCGCATGTCCTCGGACTTCAGGCCAGTGGCGCTCAGAGTGATGGTCATGGCGCCCTTGTACGTCGTCACCGCAACATACACGCCGCGCACAAACTGGTGGAACGTGGCTGAGAGCGTGTCGAGAGAACAGCCGAGAGAAGGCAGCGCCTCCACGCGCCCGACATTGCCCGTGGTGATGGGGCACGGCGCACTGGTGACAGCGGCCTCCACAGCCTTGGCCACGGTGAACGCCGGCATGCGCTCAAAGATCCACGCCGCGCTGGCGTATGCCTTGTCTTGCAGGGCGGCGTGCACGCCGTCCATGAACACGCGCGCGCCAGTCCAGAAGTCGGCGCACACAAGCGGCCGGCCGGCAGCAAGCACCATGGGGTGGGTGGTGGCCACGGCAACAGAGAGGTTGCCAACCATGTCCAGCGGCAGCGACCGGCCCGTGTGGGGCGTGTGCGCGCGTGCGTCGATGGTGGTGGTGACGGGAACACGGACGGTGCCGTTGGCCTGCATGACTTTGCTGGCGCGTGCAAGCGCGTCTGCGCTGTGCACCACGTGCTCCCGGTGGGCCATCAGCGCAGCCATGGTGATGGCGCCCGTCACCGTCGTGCCGTGTGCGCGGGCAGCAGCACGCAGGGCGGACACCACGTCTTTTTCCAGCTGACAGCCGGCGACAACGCACCGGCTGGTCTGCGATGGTGGTGGTGCCACCGCATCCTCTGCCCACTGCAGCGCCTTGTTGTCCTTGTCGTGAGCAAGGAGGTCTCGCATGGCCCCGAGGCCGCCACCAAAGAGGAAGTTGAGCCAGCCCTTCTTCTCCGCAGGCAGGAGGTCCACCAGTCGCGGTGGCGGCAGCCTGGCCAGCTCTGCATCCAGCGGCAGGGTTGTGCGGGCCAGGTCGTCGTCTTCCTTGCGGACAGAGCTGAGCTGATCGCTGCGCATGCTGTCATCGGCGGCGGTGTCGGTTGGTGCGGCTATGGCGGATGCGACGGCGCCGAGGTGGAACACCAGCTCCTTGAGCACCTGCACGACACCGCGAAGATCGGCGACAATGTGGGGTGCGGCAACAGCGATGCGGTATGTGCCATCCTCCTCGGAGCGCACGAGGGCAACGGCGAACAGGGCGCGGTGCGAGGCGTGGAAGTCGAAGGACATGTGCAGGAAGTCTGCCTCGACATCCTGCAGCGCAGCGTCGGCAGCCTCGCTTGTGGGCGCAGTCTGCATGACCAGGGCCTGCGGTGGGATGTAGGGGGAGGGCCATGTGTGCACGAGGAACGGCTCATCGAGATCGGCGTCCTTGGCAAGGACGTGCGCGCGCAGGCGGCAGTGCCGCTGCTGCACACGGTACACGGCTGCGGCGATGTGGTCCTCTGTGATGCGTTGGTCCAGCGGAATGCGATCGGGATCCACGCGCACCACACCAGATGCAACGAGGTTGGCTGCGCCGTTTCGCGGCAGGTGCAAGAACACGCTCTCTCCCTGGCTCACTGCTTGCCTGTGCTCCTCATACTGGTGTCTGGGCTGCTGCTGCTGCTGCTGTTGTTCTTGGTGTTGGTGCTGTTGTGGTGGTGGCGGTGGTGGCAGTGATGGTGATGACGATGGTGATGGTTGTGAGTTGGACGAGTGCCCTTGCCCTTGTTGCTGCTGCTGTTGTTGCTGGTGTTTGAGAGTGCGATCGGCGCCATCACTGTCAGCGCCGCTACCATCATCATTGTCGTCACTGTGCCTCTCTGCGTCCCCTTCCTCCTCGTCCAGTGGCACCTTCTCTTCTTGCACCTCTTGGCTGCTGCTGGCTGTTGCCGTCTCTTCTGCCGCTTCGCTCATCTTGGTCGTTGATGACTCATCAACCAATCACAAAGAAGAAGAAGAGGAGGAGGAAGAACTGCGCGAACGACCAACAAGCAAGAAGCAAGAAGCAAGCAAGCGAGCAAGCAAGCAAGACAGACAGAGAAGACGGGATGGAGGATGGGTCGTGTCCGTACGAGGTGCTGGGTGTGCCCACCACCGCAACAGAGGCAGAGGTATATGCAGTCGCACACGGAGGGTATTGCGGTGTGTGGTTGAGTGAGAGAATGAACGTGAGGTACACACGTTTGTTTGTGGTCGTCGGGTGGAGTGGGAACAACCATTGCACTCATCGATTGCAACAAGTTGTCTGCCACTCATCACAAATGCTGTGCTGTGCAGATTCGCAAGGCATACAAGAAGCTGGCCCTCAAGTACCACCCCGACAAGAATCCAGATGACCCAGAGACAGGTGTGTGTGTGTGTGTGTCGAAATGAAAGGTGGATGATGTGAGAAGCGCCCATGTTGTTGGTGGCTGTTGTTGGGGTGGGTGAAGTGATATGGTACGATACGTGAAGAAGACGACCAACAACAAAGGAAGCAAATGAAAGAAGTGACACGTGCAGATGCATCTGATCTCACCTCTCATACCAAACACACACACACACACACACACACACACACACACACACACACTCACACACACACACACTCGCACATCCCATGGGGTGTCAGCGGAGAAGATGTTCCGGCGAGCTGTCATGGCATCAGAGATGCTGCTGGATGCCACAGCAAAGGTGAGACACACATACACACACACACACACACAGAGCGAACAAGAGGAAGCTTGTACATCTTTCACCAGTCTGAGGACCTCTGTGTGGACGTCGTGCTGGACGAGGTGTTGGAGTGGTTGCCGTTCTTTCTGGTGGTCTTTACTCACACAACACACACCACACCGCACACAACTGCTGTAGGCTGCATATGACAAGGTGTTGAAGGCGAGGCAGGCTGCACGCGTGCGTTCGGAGAAGATGGATGCAGAGCACCGCAAAGCAAGAGAAGGTGTGTCTCGCTGTGCTGTTGGTTGTGGAAGCGTGCCTTTGTGCGCGTGTGACTGGGTTGTGTTGCATCTTATGTGTGTCCCTGTGGTCTTGTTGCCATCGTGGATGCATTCACACTCACCCACACACACACGCGCACATTCAATTGCGTGCATGCCGTTGACTGGCAGACCTTGAGGCGAGGGAACAGGCACACAAGCGCAGCAAGACTGCAGCAGAGACATTGCAACGTGACTTGGAAGCACAGGTGTGCTCCTGCGCTGCGCTTTGCTGATGTCTTGCACTTGTGTGTGTTTGTGTGTGTGTGTGTGTGTGTGTGTGTGTGTGTGTGTGTGTGTGTGTGTGTGTGTGTGTGTGTGTGTGTGTGT